GGGCTCTTCTCCTCACAGCTTAATAGGCCAAGGTGGATCATCAAAGTGTAGGCCACAAGTATCTTTCAGATAGTTGGACTTTATAAGATGAATTACGTGTGAAAAGTGAGTTTGGACCTGTTTATTTATTTTTTAGTGCTATAAAAATAGAGATGTGGATTATTCAAATACTCAGGGTTCAAATATGGGAACCATTGTAAAGTTTTCTCCTAAAATATTCAATCAAGTCTAGTATTTTGATAGGCTTAATACCAAAAGTTTAGTACACAGAGAAGATTAATAAAACCATATCTGACATCATTTTTTTCTAATATGTTTCAATAGCTGAAGTTTTTATTTTAATTTTATTGGCTTCCTTTCTTCATAGACTCATTGCCATTATTCTTTGGAGATTTGCCTATTGTAAATTAAACTTGAACTCTGGGTAACTGATAATTATTGCGCTGACAGTTTCCAGTAACTGAGTTCTGCTGGGAAACAAATTCCTATGGCCTTTAAAAAGGTTGACCCCATGGCTTTGGAACCCTTTTAATTGAACAAAAGTATTTTCATCTTCAACAAACAAGACAAACCAAGAAACAGAGTAGCAGAAGTCAGAACTGTAGGATAAAGTTATAAATCAATGAGGTATAAGGAACAAATCAGCAATACATGTTAAATAATCAAATTTGCTATTAATTATAAGTATTCTTGAATTAAGTAAACCAAAGCTTGTCATCAACTTTGAATTATTGACTTATAATATTCTGTTCAGGGGAAAAGTTCATTTTTTTAACAACTGAAGGTAAAATTGTGTAACTTTAGAATTAATAATGAAGACTGAATTTAATTCATTTAATTTTATTAAATCTGCCCCCTAGATTACTGTTAATTTAGTGAATATGCTGATATTCATTACATTACATATTTGTAAACATGAGTCAAAATTACATATATTTTTGTATTATCTAGGAATAAATACAACACATAAATGATCCAAGTGTATTGAGTATTCTTATTTTTTACCTGAAATTTTTGTTAAACTCCAAAGAGCATGTATACACAATATAAAATAAAAAGATCAGAAATCTACCATGAAAGAAGTCTAATGAAGCATACCAAGTTACAAAGTGCATGATGACTGTTATCCAGGCTTGGTTCCACTCTACCCACATAATTAAATGGAATGACTTATGTCAGATGACAGCAAAGCTGGAAAGTAGGGTCCACTCACTTGGCTATTCACTTTTTTCCTCATGTGACAAATATATCTGGTTATGTGTAAGCTAGAGTAGAAATTATATAACCCAATCAGTGTTTATCCAATCTATTTTCCCACATTTCTGTTGAAAAATATTTGTCAAAGTTATATAGGTCACAAGAGTATGTCTTATGTGATCCTATGAGGAGAATCTCATAGAACTAAACATTTTGAAGTAAGAACCCATTCAAAAATCACAGACATTAGCTGAGGGAAATTTAACTGATTTTCTAGGAGCATTTCACTTAGATAATTGTCAGTGTGTATATTTATTCAATGAATCTACTGTGTAATTACTTATAAATGTGTTAATGGGAATGAGAGATAAGTTTTCCTCCACAGAAGTTGATTTTGACATGATATAGAAGTACTCTAAATAGAGCTATTTCCTTAATTAAGCATTCAGATGAAATATATTAGCTTGTATGATCTATTTAGAATTTTGATTTGTTTTCTGTCTTTTTATTTATTTTTATGTGATTCTTTACAAATACACTAATAAAAATAACTCTATATAACACCTTGAGAATGTAATTTACCCCAAATTTTAAATTGTGCATATTTCAAGGAAGCATTTTATTTTTCTATTTCTTCAAAACTACGATGAAAGAAGAATTGTAAACTTAAAGAAATGTAGACCATCAGGAGAAGGCAGGAACAGTGATCATCTCCATGGATCTGGGTGCCTTGGTGTTTTAGAATTAGTTCATTGACAGTTCCACAGGGTGGCAGCAGCAGAGCCTAGAACAGGAGAAATAAAACCATCTATAATTCCAAGTGGAACATAAGCATACATGAGATTACTTTAAATTTCATCAGTTGTTTCTCTGCATGCATTATAAAATAGTGATTCTAATGTTTATGAAATCATATAAATTAGAAGATGTATTACATAACCAGGTAAAATGTATAAGCTACAACAAATGTAGCAAGGCTATGGTACCTGGGAATGAAATAATTTTTGTATTATAGTAAGCCTGCCTTATTCACAAATTTATTACATGTGCTTTTGACCAAGCATGACCAAAAAATAATACAAAAGAAAAGCAAGAGAAATATCAAAAACAAAACTTTTTAAGTTTGTGTGTGCATTACACAGCTCAGTTGATCCAAAGAAGTTCTCAGTCCCACTTTACTATCAGTTCTGTTTAAATCATTGTGTGATCTGCTGAGTGTTTCCTTGCCCTTAATATCATGAAAATATGCCCCCCCAAAAGAAAATGATGCCAAAATTCAAGGTAAAATTATGGTAAACATGACAAGTCAAAAAAGAAATGTAATGCCCATTAATTGAAGTGACAAAGTGAAAATTTGAGATTGATGTTTTGAAAAGTTGCATGTCTTTAGTGGAAGATGGGTGGCATTGTGGGAAAAATGAATCAATCATGCACAGTACAGTGCTGAGCTCTATGTATCCTGAGCATTCATGGGTACTTTTTTCTCAACAGAGGTCTCTTTGGAACTATATTCCCATGGATACCAAAAGTCTAATGTAATTTTTCATTGTGAAATAAACAATGTAGGGCATTGCAGTAGATGCTACATTTTGAGAGACATGTTAAAGTTTTTCTTAAATAAGTATACATATTTGTTAATAATTTCAGAAAGTTCTAAGTAATCCTTATCATTGATATTAATTTTTAAATATATACCTATATATCTATGATAGATATGAACCTAAGAGAAAAATAAACATCATAGGTATATTAGATTTAGCAAAGCAGTCACATTAATTGTGAAGAGTGGTTGCATGTAATTAGTATTTTAGTAACTGTTCAGAGGAAAAGTTCTGAAACATAGTGTCATTAGGAATGTCTATAGCAAGACAAATGAAAACTGAGAAAAGAGGTACAAGTAAGACTTTTATAATATGCAAATAATTGATTCAGTTAATACAACTTATATTTTAATAATCAAGCACCTATGTGCAAAAAATTTAACATGTTTTTTTAAAATGTAATTAAACATGACAGAACAATACACTTCAACACCCAGCTGTGATCACAAATTCCTTAATTTTGACAACTTCTGAAGGCTCCATGTACACAAATACTTGAGAATTTGATGAAACTTTTGTAAAACAAATGAGGCAATAAGTCTTTTTTACTGTTGTTGTTTTTCTTTAAGCTGAGCTAAATGTTTATTTTGATTATTTGAATGATAACGTCAGTCAAAATAATCACACAGTATGGGTCTATGTGTAGCCTCTCTATATTAGAAATGCTTGCCTTCTAGAGACATAGACATAATAATTCATTTAGTCTTACTCATTTAATTCTTGACAATGAAAAGTATCTATGGAAAATATTTTACTCTAACACCATTATGGTAACAGATAACTAGACACAGCTGTGAATGAGTGAGGCCTGCCTTCAAACACTAGTTACAAAGAACATAGACCCAAGTGCATCCTGGAGCATTTGGATATTTTCCCTGCTCTGAATCCATGTGGAGATTGTTTAGGGTATGGCACTTAAATTGAATTATGAGTTAGGGTGGTCAACCTACTTATAAAAATATTGCCATTTAGGAATAAGCTGAACTATCTAAGTAGTAACAGGACTTTGTAATACATAGGCAGACCCCCAGGTGAACCAATTGAAGAAGTCAAGAAAATAAAACTGATGCATGTTGAGGGAGAATTTTAAGAGATGGAAGAAGAGAAGGAGGGGAAGTGGTGGGGGGAGAGAGAGAGAGAAAAAAAGAGACAGAGAGAACATGTTTGAGAACGAACCATATTCTATCATTAACATAGATATTAGACCCCGTCATCTATCCTCATAATTTTGAGGTGATTAAAACCCAGATGTTAGCAGGCACAGTAGTTCAGGCCTATAATATCAGCACTCCGGAAGCTGAGACCAGGAAGGTCACAAATTTGAGACTGGCCTATACTACATAATGAAGCTCTGTCTCAAAATAAATAAATATATAAAAATAAAACAGAGCTCAGATGTGTCCTCCAAATGACTTTGTATGTTATCAGCTAAGGAAAACTGGATGAATCAAAGAGTGGCTCAGATGAAACCTTAAAAGTGAAACAGAAATATCCCTAGTATATGCTTGGGGGCAGGGATTGGTATAATGCGATCTGTGTGGCCCAGACCAGTAAAGGAAACAGATGTGAAATCTCTTTGAGACTTGTGCTCTGGAATCATCTGCAGAACATAAAACAGATAAAACATTAAGAAAAGTCCTTTCAAATGGTCATCTCATGTGAATTGGGAAAAATCTACAAGCTTAAAATGTTCATGTCATTCACCTTTTTAGTAAATAAATAATATACTAAGATCACAATCATATGTCTGTATCTTAAATATTCCATGGTGTGAAAGTAGCAAACCCATCACTTAGTTTAGTTGTATAAAACGGTGACCTTTCTGTATACATTTTCATCACCACATACTTAATGATATAAGGAAATTGGTTTTTGCCATGGCAGAATATGTGGGTGATGTTTTAACCAGGTGAGACAGGTAAAGTTGAGTTGGAACTGAAAGAACCTCATGTTCCACCCTGAGATAGTGACATGGAGCAGGACACCCAAGTGCTAATTAAAATTTGGCAGCTGGAGTCTATGCTGAGAGTAGGTTATGTGGTTTCCCTCGGGTGCCTTCCTGAATTCTTTACTGGCTTCATTTTTTGTCATATAACTTCACTGTAGTCGTTACATTTATTTATTTCTGCTTTAGCTGTTTTGTTTTGCCGTTCAATTAAACTTCACTCAGTCTGATAGATACCTATCATTCAATTCATCCAGGTGCGTGTATTTACATTTTCAGTTGGTCAACATAATTATGACAGAGGACCTATTCAGTGGATGGCTTGTGCAAATAAAGGTAACAGATCTGTTTTCTTGACCATGTCTTATTAGAAAAAAAAATTTGGTATTAATTGTTAGTTCTACATTATAATTTAAAATAATCTGAAGTTGAGGATTTGAGGCAAGGATAAGATTTTCAGCATTTTTCCATGGAAAATATCACAAAACAAATTTAGACATCAGTATTACATTATAAAATGTTCACATACCTGATCGTAATATTGTAAATTCATAAAATGATATATTATGCTGAATGATATTTAATGATACATGATATATATGTACATATTTTTTCTTTGTGGAAAAATTACTGGTTCTTTTTGAAAAATGACTCATACCTTTCTAGATAATTCAGATTTCATGCAGTGAGCCCATATTTTCTTTGTACTCAGAAGAAAAATGATGTTATTTAAAGATAAACAGTGATACCATAGCAACAAAACCTGAATACATTCCGAAAGTTATATTTAGACAAATATTTTACACACATATAATAATGATGTATACATCTGCATCTTTAATAATTTATCTGACAAAAGAAAAGTATATTTTTAATAATTTCATGTTTCCTTCTCTTTGTAGAACAAAAAAGAATGTTTATATCATCTAGGAATTGTAGTAAAAATTATTATGAAGTCTGTACATACATTATGAAAAATCCATTAAACAAACCTTTTCTGAAGAGATTACTTATATTTTAGTGTTTTCTCAATTTTAAAGGACAATTATACCTTTTTTGTCCTACAAATACACAAAATAATTTTACGGCTCTTTATCATAATTAATGTTTATTTTAAATATGTATTTCAGGTTATTATTATGAAATTCCTTCCATTGGAGCAATAAGGATTAATACTCAGGTATAGTTACTTAAAATGTTTTAAAATTATTTTTTAATAGTTCCAGTTTTTTTCTAGTTTAAATATGTTCCATATGGACAGAATAGGTAAACATGAAAACAAAAAAATCCATAATACTGCATTGTATTGAAATCTGAGTATCGTAATGACATATTGCTCTTCATCTCATTAAAGTTTAAACTGTTTCCAGTCATCTAAAACTCATGAACAATATGAATATAAATGTGAGTATTTTCCTCTTGGATACTGAAAACAGCATAGAAAATGAATACAATCAGATTTTCTGATGCTCTTATCTCATGGAATTTGAAATGATTCTATTGTAAATCATTTAAATGTTTTCTTAGCCGTAGAATAGTAAACTATTATTCTGGAGAAATTATATAAGGCTTAGTTAGGATTTAGTCACTCCCAAATAACCCCTGCATATCTATTTACCTGTTTAAAATAAAGTTGCAAGGAGATGATTTTCCTAACACCATTCTGTTGAACATGACTAATAAGTAACTTTTTTATAGATTTAAATCAAGTTAATTCAAATATATGTGAAAATGTTCAGAAATTACTATTTAAAATCATTGCTCAATTTTTAAAAATAGCTGTGAGTCTACGAAACAGACTAAGTCAAAATTTAGTATAAATAGTATGGCCTTTGTGGAAATGAATGCTGAATACATTGAATGTTGAAATGAAACAGCAGCTGCATTTGAGTCTGATGTCTGGATTTGGCATAGTATTTCATTTATTTTTTGATATGTTTAAATGTAGTCTTGAATTTCAGCCAATCTGTGATATGAAAGCAAGTATGTGACTGCTTTATTATTTCAAATTTGTGCATTTTCACACAGTAAATCACAGGACCTTACATAGTTCAGATCAACTTGAAACAATTTATAAGGAACATATTTCACTTATCATTGATTGTACCTTGAGAAACAATGTTCTAATTGTTGCTAGAAAAAACAATGGGTAGATATATTGTATAAATAAGTCAAATGTTGTGGATTGTTGAAATACACATACATACATACCACTAAGGTAATAGGTGAGATACGCAATTTGAAGTGCCCAAAGTAGGAATTAAATGATTATGTACTCTCTTAATAATTTGATTACATATTATTTTCAAACTCTAAACTATTTTTCCCCTATGGAGACTTTTTTAAAACACTGCATTCTTAGTTTTTCAACCACTACTTTCTTTTGTATTAATAGGAATATCTGGATGTGCTGGGAAGACCAATGGTTTTAGCAGGAGACAAAGCAAAGCAAGTCCAGTGGACAAATGTCTATTTGGATGCACTGGTAAGAGGTTGGATGTTCCACCAAAGATGGCCATAACAAAAGCACATAGCTGACTATTGTTCTTTTTAGGTGACAGGTTTTCTTGGATCCTTTCTTTCAAAAACCCTTCTATTGCAAGCTTCTTTGCTAGGATTTAGATAGTTTGAATAAAATCCTAGATTTATATGTAACAGAGAACCGCACATGTATATATTTTTGCTGATCTGTTGAGAGTATGGGATTTCCAACCTAGAAAGTTGAGTTTACATGAATTTTAATAACTTTTTGAATTTTTAGCATACAAATAATGCTTGATGTTATGTGAATGAGAACCTGTCTCTTTTGATTTTGAGCAAGAATTTTGAAGGACATATTCTTAAAGTAGGTAACAGCTTGTAGAAACATGTAAAACCTCTACAATTTAGAAAGACTTTCAAAAACTCAAAGTACATTCAGTTAGATAGACAAAAAAGTTTTCCTTACAGTGAAATCATTACAAACCTAATCGCCTCTTCATATGCAATGTACTACTTTAAGTTTTTGTGGAAATAAGGTGATCACATCTGGTATGAAATATCATACATGTGTTGAATATCCATTACACAACTGCCATTTTATCAAAGGTATTCCAACATATTTTAAAGCAGTAATTCTCAACAGGGGTTGATTTTGTCTTTCACATGTCATTTAGGAATGTCAGTAGACATTTTTGATTGTCACACCTGGTGACTAATGAAGGGCTAACACTGGCTCTAATGAACACAGAGACCAGAGATGCTGCTAAACATCTACAGTTCAAACAGAAGCCTCATTATACACACACACACACACACACACACACACACACACACACACCAGACAAACACACACACCATGCCATACACATACCACACACCATACCAGACACACATCACACCACACCACACAGACATACACACACCACACACATATAGTATACACAACGCCCAAAAACACACATCACATACACACATCATGTACACACACATACCACACGGACACACACCACACACACACATACCACACACACACACCACACATACTGCACACACTATGCTGTATGCTACATGCTACACACACACCATGCATAACACATACAACACACCTAAACAGGCATACACACACCACATACCACACACCAGACAAACCATACACATATACCATAAACATCACACACTACACAAACATACACACACCACACATACCACACACACTACATACATGAACCACACACACCTCACAAAGACATACACCACACACTACACACATACCACATACTACACATCTACACATACACCACATATAACACAGATTGCATACACATGCCACACATATACCACACATACATCATACAATACACACATATATCATGTGCAACACACACACTACACACAGACATATTACACACACATCACAGAAACACATACCACACATATGAAACACACACCACACACTCATACACACATACACACACATGCCAAAAAAATTATCCGCCCACATTACCAACAGGACCAAACCAAGGTTGAAAAATCTGTTTTGTGCTATTTTTACTTTGCTGGCATGATAGTTATGACTTCATGTGCTTAATCTTAATTTGAAGACTTCATTAATGATTTACTGAAATAATATGTTGGAGAGTGTGAAAATACTGAGCCCTAACAGTAAATGCTGATTCAGTAATGCCCTTTTCCCTACTTGGACTCCAATTATATGATGTTCCTACTTTTCTAAACGCAATGATGAACCCAAAGGGCAAAAAGCAATCCATTTAAAATTACTTATCATTTGGTTCTTACAAAATAAACATATACAGGAAGTTAGAAGAAAAATAGGCACTATTAGCAGTAGCTTTGCATGTTAAGAAAGATAAAGTGAAGTTTGCTTACCTCAAGACCCAGCTAACATTACTGTCCACTGTTCCTTCTTGACATTGCTTATTTACTTAAGGTCACATGGTCATCTGAAGCTATGGCCAAAATATTTTGCTTTTCCAATTCCATCATAGGACAGTGTGCGATAGGAGAAGTCAATAATTATGCCCTGCTGTATTTCCTATGACCAAAAGTTCATTAACCAGAATGTCTGCATCACTGGTAATGTTCTTACTGATAACATAAATGAAATGTTGATTCTAAAGTGCTGTTTTACAAGCTAAAACTAAATGTAAAAGAAAAGAAAAAATGGTGGGGCACATGAGTTGGCTATCAGTGGACAAAGAGCATTCTTTTTATTGGTTCGAGAATAAGTGATCCATCATTTATTTCTGGGCATTTATTTATAATCACTACATGCAGTAAATTCAAACTATATGTTGGTCAAATAGTTATTAAGAAGGAAAAGATGTAATATTTTAAGGTCATATGTCATAACTATAATGTGAAAAATTCAAAGAACCCTGGCTTTCAAAAGAAACAAGTCATGTAGTTGGAAATAGAGTGGAGCATGATTACAAAATTGTGATGCTTTATTGGAACATGAGTACAAGTAAAGTGTCTGTCAATTATGATGAGTAATGAACCACACAAAAATAGAGGGTATAAAATTTGGAAGTACTGGATATATTAAAGGAATTATACCATTTATATCTTTGGAAATAATGGGAAATAATGACCCCAACAGGACTGGAGCAATATTCTGGAGGCTTTATTGATTGGAGAGACAAGGGGAGACTCTATATAAAAAGAGAGAGATAAATAACAAATCCCAGTAGCACAAATATTGTTCTAGTTCTCTAGAGATGTTTTTGTGCCTGAGAACAGAGTACACTTTTTTGTTTCTCTTGATGGATGGGAAAGTGGAAATTAAGTACCACTGAGCTCATGACTATCTTAAATCTAATATTATAGTAACCTAAGATATCACTTTATGGTACATATTAACCATTTTTAGAAGCAAATTATGGTGTTCTGTACAAACGCCAAAGCAATGCATAGAAGAAAGTGTATCCATGTGTATCTTGTCTTATATCATGGTACCATTTTTTTAAACTATACATATAAATTATAACTCAAATAAAAAGTTCACCAAATGTAATTTTCACTGAATTATCTTTTGGATACCAGCTTCATGAATTAACCTATAATCTTACTATTGAGGTAGAAAGTTTTCATTGGGAATATTAATTTACATAAATAAGAATGTTTTCATTCAAATGTTCTTATTTAGGATTACATAAAGCCTCTATGTATATCATCATGTACTCAGCTACCTGTTCTTAATTTTGTTTGTCCCAAATAATTTGGTATTGTGTTCTCTTGGAAGCTTCTCTATGATTACGCCTCCTTTCTAAATCAGTTTCCATTATTCTGGGGTTTCACATTTGCAGTTATAAACCACAGCCTGTGAGATTTGGGTTGAAGGTTGTTTTTTCAGAATAAGAGCACTAATGTTTTCTCAGTTTAGCAAATTCAAAATGTCATTGAGTGATTTTGTTGAAAATGTAGTTTTAAAATGAAATCATGGTTAAAAAATAGACAATTAGCTTTTTATCACTGTGGCCAAATATTTGACGTAAATAGATAAGGGAGGAAGATCTTTTGTGGCTCATGATTTCAAAGGGTTCAACCCAAGGTCACCTCGCTCAGTCTTTCTGGGCCCATTGTGAGGCAGAACATCAGGACCTCAGGAGGATGTGGAGGTGGAGATTCTTTACCTCATTGAGGACAGGAAGCCAAGAAGAGAGACAGCAAGAGCCAGGGACATGACACTCCCCAAGGACTCGCCCCGAGTGACCCATTTCTTCCAGCTAGGCCCACCTCTAAAGTTTCCAGAACCTCCCAAAACAGTACCTGCAGCTGGAGACCAAGCTCTCAACACGTCAGTCTTTTGAGGAGACACTTCATGTCTACATAATAGATATGCATATATATGTATATGGTATCCGATGTCAATAATGAAAAAAGAACCCTGCAATTACACTAATCTGGATGGACTCATTTAATATATGAGATTATCTGCAAGTAGATTATTAGGATGACATTATTTTTTATACAAAATGAATACTTTATAACTATACTTTTCATATTTGATATCCTCACTTGTCTTTCTACACTATACTAATTTGTTGGAAAGTTCTATTTTAAAGAAGGAGAAAAAAAAAAAATAGAAGGTAACACACATGCACAGGAAATTAATGTGAGTCAACTCCCTGTATAGATATCCTTATCTCAACCAGCAAAAACCCTTGGTCCTTCCTATTATTGCTTATACTCTCTCTACAACAAAATTAGAAATAAGGGCAAAATAGTTTCTGCTGGGTATTGAGGGGGGAGAGGGAGGGGGCGGAGTGGGTGGTAAGGGAGGGGGTGGGGGCAGGGGGGAGAAATGAACCAAGCCTTGTATGCATATATGAATAAAAAAAAAGAAGAAAAAAAAACAGTTCTATTTATTTTGAGGGCTACACAAATGTATGATTAATAGGATGGCATGAGTTTTGGTATACCAAATGAATCTTCACGATTACCCTCTTCATATTTGATGTTTGAAGTTAAGTCTTTCTGTACTATTTTATTTGTCAGGAAGTGCTATTTATTTTAAGAAGCAATATTGTTTCTTATGCTTTTGTAGCAGCATATTATTTATCTAGATTATTCCAGAAATGCAGGTTTTTTTTTTCCTTTATTCATATGTACATACAATGATTTACTCCCCTCTTCTCCCCTCTTCCCCCAAACCTCTCCCTCTCGCCCCACCCCCTCTTCCAAGCAGAAACTGTTTTGCCCTTATCTCTAATTTTGTTGAAGAGAGTATAAGCATTAATAAGGAGGACCAGGGGGGTTTGCTAGTTAAGGATAGCTATACAGGGAGATTCCTAGTTTTGCTTCCATGTACATATGTGTTACTTTGTAAGTTGATTCTTCCTGAACTAACCTTTTCTCTAGTTCCTAGTCCCCTTCTCTTATTAGCCTCTGTTGCTTTAAAGTTTCTGCATTTTTTTCTATTTATCATGTTATTCAGCTGCATATTTCTGAAATAGTGTGAAGGCTTTGGCATAAAAATTAGAATGAAATTCCAATGATGATTGCTTTAAGCAAATCGTTTATATTTTAATACCGTGCTAGTTATGGAGACCCCTGATGGTAGGTGTTCAGACACTGAAAACTGGAGTGAGCATACTTATTGAAATGTTATAGGCTATTAATCATTTTTATTTAAATTACTTGCAATGTTGACCTACAGTGTTATTTTAGATGTTGCAGGATTCAATGACTGCCTGCTGAGTCCTTATTATTTCCAATAGATTTTTATTGTTTTTTTAAAATAACCTTTAATAAATATTCAAAATCAGTTACTTGGTTTTTCTGGCTCTTTTAAAGTAACTATAAAATGAAGTCTCAGATATCAAAATCTAATGCAGTAGGATAAAGTTTAACTTGTTGCTTTCATTTGCCTTTTCTCTCAATCTATTTTTAGGAACTGGGACTTGTCATTACTGGAACTCTTCCGGTCTTCAACATAACGGGCCAATTTGAAAATAAGACAAACTTAAAGGTTAAAAGTTAATTGATAAAATTAATAATAATAAATGATAAACTGTGGTGTTGAAGTTCAATGTGGATAAGATATTTGTATAAGGAAATGCATACGATGTAAGTCTTGTAGGACAGAGGTTGATGACGACAGCTGCTTGTGTGATAATCACCTGGGAAAAAGGAAGCACAGATGAAAATCTCTGTTGTCCTAAAGTCAAGAGTCAACTTAACTACGATGGATGAGGATGCAGAGTCAGGCTCTAGGGGTCATTGTATGATAAAAGGACAATAATATTGTGTGCACATTTTAAAAGCACATTTGAGACATTCATTGATAGAAAACAATCCAGACCCAAATCATGGTTATGTTTGTTTCAAATGCACATATGAATATTGAATCCTTACTGTTCCAGTTCCCAAACAATAGTTTTTTTAGTTCCAACTTAAGGGTCTGATTTATAGTCTTAATATATTTTAAGATACATGAAAAATAATGAGTTTCTTAAAAAATGCTTCATTTCTATATCTTTGGTACTATTATCAGTGTAATAACATGCAGTTGCTTAAAAGTTGTAATTATGAAATATATCTTATACTAAAAACTTTTAATTTGAAAAATAGGGTTGCACACTTCACAATGAATTTTAAAATGTAGAAGTTTGTATTAATACTAAATACTTATTTTATATGTAGGTGACAGTCTTGATTTGAGGGGATTTTTATTTCCAGTATGTGGATTAATGAAGTCTGTAGCACTTAAGCATTATTTGTTCACTTATTATAAATGTCAATTGAACACCTTATTTTAATAATGTAGGCCTACAAAACAGTTATTCCTCTTTGGGGGCCCATTACCATTCTTAAATATCTCTGAGTTCTAAATATTGCAATTCATAAAGGAATAATTCTCTAACTCATATGTGCTGAAACACTCATTATGGCCTGTTGTATGTTTTAGTTTGCTAGTTTTGTTATGCCTAGGATTGACTCACAGTGACAGCCTAGTTCTTGAATTAACTTCACTCTGAAACTATACAGGGTTTAAAGTGTCTTTATAACTACTGATTGGACTCTATCATTGTCTTTGTAAATGCATTTCAATCTATTTTATAATTTTTATAATTATGTTTAAAACAAAATTTCCAAGTCAAAATTTTAACACAGTCTCCATCTCCCTTTCCTATCGATGATTATGATAGCAATTTGGCCCATAGCCCCCTCAACTTGGATCTAAAACTATGATGCCTATTGTTTGATATTTAGAAGTTATTAGCAATAATTAGCAAATGTTGTTTGATTCTTATTATCAACAAAATCACATGCTTTGAAGATAGTTACACATACACAGGTAATATCATCCACAAAATTCCAATGTTTCCTTTATTCCATATTGACCAGTCTTTAGGCTGGATATTCTTAGGATTTCTTAAACGTAGTGTACCACAAAATCAGTTTATGTGCATTGGTGCGCACACATGCAGCTACAACTATTGACTGTGCTGTAAAAATTAAAACACATATTAGAATAAAGTGTACAGGAAATGTCAAATAAAAATTTTCATGTATTTTTTGTGTTTTAGACTTAGTTATCAAGATTTCATTTAAGTTAAATAATCAGGTTTGGAAAACTAAAAGCTAAAAACAACTTGTAAACTGACACCCAAAGTACCCTATCATGTCTACCAGTATCTATCTATCTATCTATCTGTCTATCTATTCATCTATCCATCCAAATACATTCAACAATTAGTATGAGGATGAATATGTATGATAACTCTATAAAATATCGAAACATTTGGTATAAAATACACTAATTTTCTGCCATCTCACTCTAGAACCAGCTAATTCTGGGTGTGATGGGAGTCGATGTGTCTTTGGAAGATATTAAAAGACTGACACCACGTTTTACAGTAAGATGCAATTTATTTTTTGGTAACCTTTCCAATTTTAGAACTGTGTCCTGATTTAACTTGCCCATAAAGCACTTAAGTAATTCTCAAAAATTGTGTATAGTTACGATAGCAATGGAGCTAAATGCTAAAAAGCTTCTTCAAAATAAAATGTAGAGATACTTTGTTATCTTTCAGCATGTCTTAAAATGTATATTTAATAAATAAATTAATTTGGTAAAAGAATTCAAAACAATAGTGTAGATTTGTGATTGTGACTCAGGGATCTCTACACTTTCCAATTATTTTTCAGCTATGCCCCAATGGCTACTATTTTGCAATTGATCCTAATGGTTATGTTTTATTACATCCAAATCTTCAGCCAAAGGTATGTATATATCTTATTTACAGTGATTAGTATTTTGTAAGATTAATGATTAATGTTTTTAATAGGATTTTCATTTAAAATTTACTTTATCGCATTAAATACAAAGAACTGTCTAGAATGGAGCTTCCTTATTAGACAGTAAGATCACAGATATATGAAAATATGAATGAGTTTTCATTTTCTCTTACCAACATAGCTGAACTGATATTCTTTTCTCAAAGGTAGCCATTATCACCTCCTGTGTGACTTTGCTTAAGACTGTGGTTGGTGTTGCTGTAGACAGAACATTGACCTGATAAACATTAGCAATGATCCTTGCTGCCCCAGCCACAACTCCCATTGCCCTTCTCATCAAGTGATTATCTCTGATTTCCATCTCCCAGACTATGCTTTTCACTTTGGGTAGGCTTATAAAGATAGGCAGGAAATTCAATAAGGAAAATGTATGTAATCTGCAAGTCATAAAATTTTATGCTATTTTATCTCAGCCTTTTTGCCTATATTTCCAATCTACAAAATATTTTCATAGAATAGCTCATTTCTATTTTCATTAATACTTAAAAGGCATTAATGATAAAACAGTTATCTACAAGGAAAATTAGATAAAATCTTGCATAATCAAAATTTTATAAGCATCTTTAAGCTGTGTAACTTTAAGGACAACTCTAAGCTTATGCAGATTTATGCATACTACCTCCTTCTTCTTAGTCATGCATATTTAATGTTAGCCATATATTAGAAACACAAGTGTGCACACCCATCAGATGTGTCATTCAAATATTGTTGAAATTAATAACAGTTAATAGCCACTGACATTGAGTGCAGTTTAAATTAAATGTAATAAATTATTTTAAAGTGTAAATAATATTGCATGTTTTTATTAATATCTATTTTAATTATTCTTGCTATGAAATTTATTTCCATGTAAATCTATCATGATACATGATAAGTAAATATCGTTGATCATCCTACATCATGCTATGCCATAGGTTCTTTTTCATGTTATGAAATGGTCATTAAAGAGTGTCATGTTAAATTCATCTTTACATAGTTTATGACTAGATAATCATCTGTGATTTTTGCCCTAGTTGAATTTTTTTAATAATCTTGAAAACAGGTTTAAAATTACACAATGCTATTATTTGGTCTTTGTTTATCCAATGTATTTTAATTTATATCCTGCTAACTAAATCTAGAAGTAATTAAAATGTGATGCACTGGACAGTACAAAGGACCCCTAATTTTCTAATTGTAGACTTTAACATGCCCCCAAAAGAACTAAAATATATCATCAGCAAAAATAATAATGAGAATAATGCATGTATGAAGGACTTATGAAAATTCAACATCTAGTGGCAAGAACAATTTAAGATGCTTTCATAGTACAAAAGAGACAATAAAACAATTTAAAAATAGTTTTTGCCTCTTCTATATTCTCCTAAGGAGATTTGAATGATGTCACTATATGTTTGAAAGTTGCTATTATTCACTAAAAATCATAACATTATAAAGAAAATACAAATTTTATAGCAATCTTTATTAAAGACTAGGTGATATTTTTCTTCCAGATTATGAATTAGATTTTCATATTTTGGGGTCGAATTTTATTTTTAAAGCAACAAAGCAACAAAAAATTTCAAAAAATACTGTTTCAGAATAGGAAATAGTTCTCAATAATCCATGTACTATTTCATCCTGAAATTTATACTTGTAAATTAAGTGTGATGGGGTGTCAAGATACACAGATTGATATAAGAACCTCATGAAAGGGTAATTTAGTATAAAATTACCATTTTAGCAATTGACAAACACAAACGGCTAATGGGCAGTGTATTAACAAAGTGATCCTTAATTCTTTTATCAGAAATCTATCAATACAAATTAAGGAAAATAAATCTATGATCATATTACTCATTACTATTGAGCTAGATGAAAGCCCAGTGTTATGCAAGTATGCCTTGATCAATGTGTTATGTTTCTTTTTGACACTGAAATCTCATTTCAAAATATTTTAGTATAATTTTGTAGTTTGTAAAAGGAAGGACAAGTGTCCTTTAAAATGCCTAGAATATCAGTACATAAATTAGCTATAGACTTTTACATATCTACTTTTCAAGGAATTCTTTATGTTCTTAAAGTATACTGCTACCCCATGACCACATTTTGACTGTTAAATTATCATCCTAACTTATCCTCAAGTGCATTTTATATTTCTTCCATTTTGTTTCATTCAAATAACCAGATTAGATTAGGTTGCCAGATAATCTCATTTTGATCAATTCTGATAAATATTTATTGAATGCAAAATTGTGTGTAATCTGTTTTTGGAGTTACTATTCAAAATAAATCTACAGTGTTATGGTTGAATTCTCTGTTAGTTCAACAAATACAACATTTTATACCCTTTCAGGTAACAAAAGCACAAATTTCAAATATCCTGTAGTATTGATCTTAGTCTACTAAGGCTGCTATAACCAAAATGAAACAAAACAAAACAAAAAACAGATCACAGACTAGTGGCTTATAAACAACAGAAACTTATTTTTGTCATTTCTCAAGACTGGGAAGCACAGATGAAGGCACACACAGATCATTGCCTATTCCTCAGAGGCAGCCAATTTCTCCCTCTAACCACACATGTTGGAAGGGAATAAAAGGGCAAAAGATCTTTCTCAGGCTTCTTTTATAAGAGTACTAATCCTATTTGTGAGGGTTATGCCTCCATAATCTAATTAAGTCCCAAAGTCCTTGCCTGATAATATAATACCAGCCTTGGGTGAGATTGCAACAGTTATTTACAGGTGACATTAGCAATATTCACATTTAACCCATTTGGTTTATGTAAACTCTAACAATTTGTATTTTTCAATCTTTTCTGTTTTGAACCAGGAAAATGTACATGGGTCAAGTTATCTTTCCCACTTCATATGGGAAAACATGAGTAGTTAACTTAAGAAATGATTTTTAGTAGCATAACAGTTTATACTCATTAAAAATATTTTAAAACTTTCAGTTGTTTTATTTAGTTATTCTGAACTCTATGGTATTTATCAAGTACATTAAATTCTAAATATATCATCAGTCTTGCTTCTGACCAAGGAAATACTGATCCAAATTGATTACAGGCTTGAGCTTTTACCTATGCTAATATGTAGGATGATGAATTACCATTTTTTCTGTTGCTTCAGCCTATTGGTGTAGGCATACCAACAATTAATTTACGAAAAAGGAGACCCAATGTTCAGGTAACTGTGACTGAAGAAGAATTATCGCTGCTTTCAAGTTCGCTAAATCAAGTTGAGATCAAGCTTCTGTTCTTAAAGTTTATAACTAAAGTTGCCTTTCCTGACATTTAAGCTTTCAGAGCATGAGATGGAAATAAGCGACATTTCTCAGTAAACTCAAGCAAAAGTGGTATTAATTATGGCAGAGGGTATGTGTTGGCTAACTAAAAATTGCTGAGTAAATGATCTAATGATGTTAACAATCAGTGATCATAAAGAGATGGCTTTTGAAGGAAATTTGTATTAAATACTCTGAAATTAACATCAAATCCATGCGATCCTAACAATTTGCTTGTAAAATTGATTTTTAAGTGCAAATAAAAGCAATTTCTGTGTGATAGTTTCCATAAACTAGAAATTTTAAGCCATTTTTTGAATTTCTAAAAATGCAATTTGCAATTAGAAGTTAGAGAAGTTTCCCTTCAACTATCAAAAATGTATAAAACTGCAAATAAATAATGTGAATTCATATTCCTTGGCAAACTCATTGCAAACTCATCTTTTCTCTGTTGGTAGCAAAAAAGTGTATGTATATTTCTGTGGACACATTAAACTAATCAGCAGAAAAGTATATTTTCTATGACTTACTGAGAGAATTTTGGTATTTCAGTGGAAGTTCAACATTATCATAGGTGTTCTATGTGAGGCCTACCATTTCCTTAAAATAAGTTACAGATGATGTAACGGAAAAATAGTGATGATAAGAAGAGATCTTAAAAGCTATGAATTCATAGAACTGAGTCCAAGTTTGGTTCTAATGACAGCCAAGTGTGCATCCTTCAGTGATTCATGTATTTTTGGAGGACTTCAGTGTCTTCATCTGAAGAGCAAGACGAATGAATCATTGCTCTATACTCTATGCAGGAAATTAAATATATGTTTTGATCCCAGGCCCCATCTCCTGAAAATTCTACTTTGACCTCAAGTAGCTTGAGGTTGTCCTAAAGTTCAGTGACACTGGACTATAAAAGATTGAGTTCCCTTCCAGATCTAGAACTCTGACCATCTGAATCTCATGTTGTGTGTGAAAATCTTCAGCTCTTTTATGATTTCTAAAGAGATTAAAAGTACTTGTATACCTTTCTTGAAATATTAAATTGTTTTGTTAAACTCCTTGCATGCTCCTTTTTATGTAGTACCTTAATTATATATTTTGTGGTCATGTGCATTTTTTAGTGAATTTTTATTTTTGCAGCAACCTCTGCATGTAAATATTATAATTTAAAAAATTTAAAAACCTGAATAAAGGTTTGTTTTATTTTTGTTTTTGTTTCCATTCTAAGAAAACTCCAAATGGCAAGCTAGCAGCCACATAACACTTCTTGTTTAGGGAATATTTTTGAATGCTGAGCCATTATAATAATACTGAGTATTAATTTTTAGAAATTTTAAAGTTGTTGATATTGCATCCTGTCTTTTATTTTATTTCCACAAATGGTGTGGTCATTATGCTAGCTGACATGCAAATTGTGCAAATGAGAATTATTAGGTATTTAGAATAAGCAAAATAATGGGCATTCAGTGACCAAGAGACTAAATAGATTCCTTTTCTTCAGCCTGTCTTGGGGCTTTCCTCTTAGAAGATTGTGTTTTTTGAATTTTCCAGTTCCTCTCTGCCTGTGATGAGTCTTAGGAAAAAAAAAAAAAAGTGGACCTCCAGGTTGCCATTTACAAATACAAGTTATGCATTGACATTTTTCTTTTATGATTCATTTTCTTCTCTGTCTCTCTATGTTGGCCTGGGACATGACCTTCACATTGCCAATTCTTCCTGATAATGCCTCCTCCCTGCATGCCGTGGTGGGTGTGGTCATGCTAATGCCTTATGCACTGCATGTAAGATAAATACTCTCCTTTCTGTTTCCTCTTATCATTTTGATTACTTTCACTTTGTTTTGCATGGAGTTTGTTAAAATTTTAACAAACATGGTGTTTGTGTGAACATGATTTATTTTATGGGACATTAAATAAGCAGTTCTAAAAGTGAAAGGTTTCACTTTTTCAACAAAGGATTTGAAGGATTTTTAATATTGGCTTTTATCTTTAAGTTATGAAATATGGTACTATTCAAGTGAGTATTTGCTGCTAAAGCAAAAACATACCATCCCCAACAGCGGTCAATATTTTCACCTTTGAAAGATCAGATACTTCTGATTATAATAATAGAGTTCTTAGGCAATGAATTTTCTAAATTAACAATGTAAGTGGGATTATTTTTTAAAATGAAAAATTCTCATTCATCAAAAGCCATGAGAATCAAAAGTTTTCATTATTGAAATGGAGTTACTCCTTGGTGGAAGGCATTTTGCCATAATTACAAAATAAATATATGCCATGTACACTGTATCATTAGACATCTAAATAGGATATGCTGGCTTTTAACAAAATTTTTACCTATGGCTATTATCTTGATACATCTATCCTCCTAAAATGATGCTTAAAATAGTGGTGATCTGGATATTTTTTGGAGGCTGAGAGCAAAAACTTAGTGATCTTTGAACTTTCAGTATAATCTGCATTTATTATTGCCATATTATTAATTATCAGATTTCAATAATATTTATTTAAATAAAGATTTTAAAGTCTAATTTCTAAAATTTTATACATCTAATATGACTTTATTGTTTAGTTAACTTTGAAATTCTAGTATGAGATGTTTTATTATTTAGTAAGGATGAAATGGATATGAATATATTTTATAAAATAGTCCAACGAGTCTTCATTTTATATTTGAAAAACTAACATAATGTCATATGAGGTAAATTTATCAGCCTAGGAGTATCATTTTATATATAATGTAATACAGTTTGCTGCATTTAAAGCTCAATCTCTAGCTCTGGTTATTTAGTTTCATATGCATACAAAAGAAGAAACCTTTATGTACTTGTGTATCTTAGGTAAGTAATTTTTATAGAATGAATTTCTTATTTAAATATCCATTGAATAATTCTGTATACAGCATTATTTTATAATTCTATATGTACCGAATTATTATTGTCTTCTGTGCAGAATCCCAAATCTCAGGAACCAGTCACATTGGATTTCCTTGATGCAGAGTTAGAAAATGATATTAAAGTAGAGGTGAGTGTACTCCACAGAAATGAACAAGACCTCAAGTCTGAGATGAGATTCTTTCTTCCATTTTACACATATCTGTTCAGCAGTTGTATTGTGTTAGGCAGTCTCTTAGATCTCTAACCACAAATCTCAACATTCTTGGTCTTTAAAATTTCTAGATTCTGGGGTGTCCTGATTTAAAAGAAAACATATGAGAAGGAATAAATATTTTAAGCAGGGTGTGATCTTCCTTTTTTTTCTTTCTGATTAAGTATTTCAGTACAAAAACAGCATTCATTTCAATAGAAATCATAGAGATGGATGCTGCTATGCATTTGAATGAAAAGTTGGAGGGAACCCAACCATCCAACCACAAGGATGAGCAGCAGCAAGAAAAAGGTTGCCATATTTGTCTTAGGACACTTTGCTCAGCAAAGTTCTATTTGATTTCAGAACCAAAGTCACATGTTACTTCCTCTGAGAGTCTTTCATAATAATAAAGGTAATTATTTTAGTAATAAAATGTCATTTATTCAATACATGACATATAGCAGTGTGGATTATCTATAGCCTTTGAAATGATGTTATCCTTATTATAATATATTTTATAGTGATGATGCTTGATATGCAAAGAGATCAAATAGTTTGTATATGACTATTCAGCAAAGATGTGCAGAACCAGACTTTTGTCCTCCAGAACACAGATATTTTTAATCTTTCTGAATGAATTAACTTCTTTTATCAGTGCAAAGACCCCCATAATTCTATTATGACTTGAAATAATGTATTTTAATTTTTACTTTATTTACACATGTTACAATTTACTCCATCATTTTACAGCTATAACATTTAATTTTTTATTATAATTATGCTACCTATGGTAGAGCCATGGGGTAGGATGTTTTAGGTGGTAAATGAATATTTGTTGTATAATAAACTTGGTAAATAGTTTGGTATAATAAAGTTAGATGAAGTAATGGTGATGAGATTGATGTCTCTCCCACTGAGACATCATAAGGAACTTTCTTCAGACTCTCTAAGGCTCAGTCCCCCTCAATTAACATAGTGATTGAATGAAATAATATAACAGACTTAGAAAAAGACCTGGTTCATGGTAAAGTGCTACTATTTTTGAGCAATTCATAATGGACACACAGTTTACATGAGGAACTATTATCTGCTTTTCACTTTCAGACCCCAAATATTTTAACTAAATTAGACTAATCAAGCAGTCTTTACATTTAAATTATTTCTCTTACTATACTAAGTTTGCTCAGTTGTCATTTGTACTTACCATAACCCAAATGTAAATCACTGGAATGACTATAGAATGAGAAATATGTTAAAGGAAATTCTGAGAATTTCCAGTACATTGGAATATTTTGTGAACAAATATGACCTGAGTTTATATTGTGTAATTTTAAATCCTTCATCACGTGGTTATTTGGGCAAGAGAAATTTGAAATATTTTATATTATAGGCTAATCTTTAACTATAAATGCATTTTTATTTCTCGGTGACTACTTTTCACTTGAATGTTGCTAGCCCTCAAAACAATTGACCACTCTTTTATTAATTATGTTTGAAAAATTAATGAGTGCTTAAAATAAACTTTCATTAAGAATATTTCTCTTATTTTAAATTAATACAAAAAGGTTATGACAATTTAAAAAAAATCCCAGAGAACTACAAGTAACAATAAAACCATTCTACCATTTTTATTCAGCCTGTCTGAAATGAGGAAAATCTTATGAAATTAGTATTTTAATAATCTTACTCCAGTATGTCATTTTGGTTCCTGGAATGAAATAATTGTTTTATTTCCCTTAGATTCGAAATAAAATGATAGATGGAGAAAGTGGAGAAAAAACTTTCAGAACTCTTGTTAAATCTCAAGATGAGGTAAGAATTAATTCAGGCTTATTCTTAAGTAAAAGAATGTATTAAGAATAGTTGATATTTGCAATTTGATTTCCATTTCTATTAATCCAATATTTACAATAAAGTAGGGATGTCTTTGAGAACAATTTTTCTTTTTTAAGGCACTTAGCCAGAGGAATTTTTCGCTAAGATAGTTTCAACTTTGTTTTTATAAAATAATGTTGATTTAGATTTCTTAATATATTTTTATATCATTAACAATATATTCTGTTCAAAACTGTACTCTTGACAGCTATATTTTATGATTAGATGGTTTTTCATTATAGAACACATTGGGCTGGGAATGTGTTCTCAGCAGTAGTACCCTTGCCAATAATGTACAAAGGCCTGCTTCAGTCCCCAGCACTACACCAAACAACAACAAAAAACAAAAAAGAAAGTACAGTGTAATTTCTGTCATGCTTTAGACAACAGAAATAAAAAATTCAAGAAATGAAAAATTCAAGGTCATATTTGATAGCTGTGTGTTATGTTATTTATACCTGCAGATATTCCAATTGTTACAGTCCACATTTTATATTTTAGTTTTTTTAATTTGTTTCTAGCTTGACTTATCTCCCTTTACTATTTATATGCTTTATAATTGTCCTGCATTTAAATCTGAAATTAAATCATGTGATCACATAATGGTCCTCATTTGAAACTGGCTTCTATAATGATCTTATATTACTTTATGTTTCATGAAAGACATCTTTGTGTTTGAGTCTATCCACCATCAGTCATACGAAGAATAAAAACAGATTTTCACATATTTGAATACTTCAAAAATATATGGGACTCAGAAGTTCTTACGGCTAGAAGTTTAAGTTTTTATATATAACTTACATCCTTTGCCTTAACTCATGCTTTTTAGATATATGCTTTTCTCCCTAATTCCTCAGCAGATCTTTCCCTAAAATGGACTCAGGATCTAAATAGCATTCATTAGCACATTGCTTTTCTCAATTTAACATCATTGTGGCTTCCTATTACCAGGACATGAGAGGAAGTATATAAAAATCTCGTCTTCATTGAAACATCAACTCTGTTTACTTACAATGTAGCCATGGTCTTTCCCCTCTTTCTTCCGGCAGGAAAGACGTACACTGTTTTGGGCAATTTCTCCATCATTTGTCATGAACTCCAACCTTGGAAATTTTGGGCAATTTCTCCATCATGTGTCATGAACTCCAACCTGCACTTTCTTTTCTTAGCTTACAAAGTCATTTTCTGTTTACTCACATTGATGTTCTCCTCCTTCAATTTACTGCAAGTTCTTTTTTGACCAATATTCATTTATAGGCTGTATTTTTCTGTTTTAGAACTTTTGAATTTTTCTCTTAAATGCAATTGTAAATAGATGAAACTCATCTTTTATTACAGTATTTCTCTCCCTTCTATATTTCTGTACATGTTTGTATTTTCTTTTCAAGGATAATTTTTCTTTACTTTGAATCAATACTTTTTGTCAGTATTCACTGATCCATTTATAAAAGTTGAAAAATTATAATTATTCTGATTTCATTATTATAGCGTATAGAAAACCATATTTGTACTTGCTCTCTATATGGAATTTGATAGGAATGTTTACTATGTGAGACTAGCTTTCAAGTTAAAATGTTTAGTTTCACTCAGATGTAGCAGAATTCCACAGGCTGTGGTCAGATAGTGACGGAAGTTCATCATTTTTTCTTAGAGGAAATGATATAACTTTTCTTTACACCATTTTCTACATCTATGATATAGGAAACTCCAATGTTAGCACATCCACAATACTTAGCACAATGAGTTGCAAGTAATTTAAATTTCTCACATATGATATGTTTCCCACAAAGCCTTTCTTCACATCTGATTGAATATTTCTCACCCAAAACTTTCTCAAATTAATTTATAAACATTTTTTCATAGTCATGTCTTTCAGGATCCCAGCTATCCTGTAAAAACTAAATGTATGGAATAAGTAAGAGATATGAATAATCAAAACTTAATTCACATACAAAAAAATCTCATTTTCATATGTTATTTTTTATGAATTTGTTACTATTGAGTTAAATTTAAATCAGAATTGAATTTATGCCCAGTTAAATCTAATTTATCAGAATCAGAAAACAGTTTGTGCTTACATGTACTCATCAATAAACCTTTGTTTATAACTGTAGGCTTCAGCTAACTTTAGAATGCATTTGTACTGTCTCATGCAGAAGTTTATTGAAAATGTTGGAATTGAACACCCTTACTCTAATAACTATTTCCTCAAAAAGCCAATTAGAATATATCCCCAAACCTACTTAGAAGTTGAAAAAATAGATATTGCTTTGTCACAAATCACAGAACAAGATTATAATTTCTGTTGCTAAAATTAAGAAGATGAGTTTTTATTTCCCTAATAAAGTATCCTGTGATACTTTCACAACTTGTTGAACAACACTAGTTTGTGGTGTTTTATTGTGAGCAGAAGCAAATATATGAAGATTGTCTCCAAAGCTTTTAGGTTTTTTATTACTCCATCATCATTCTTATTTACCTCCCCCAATTTGTTTCTCTCCTCCCCCACCCACCCACACATATTATGTAGTTGTAAAAATGGATTTGGTGTGTAGATGGTAGCTCAATGGTAGAGCACTTGCCTAGCACATGTGAGGCCCTGGGTTGGATCCAGTGCTAAAAAAATTTTTTTAAACCCATATATTTTTCTTTAACTTGAACATTTAACTGCCTCACCTCTTCTTTAAGGCTTATTTCTTTATTAATAAGTTGTGGGAAATAATGATATCTACTCCAGGTCTTTGAGAAAATAAGAAAACAACAGTAAGGTAGTGAACATAGTTCCTAAGACTGAATAGTGCTTCAGTAAATGTTATTTTTTAAAATTTTTATTTTATCATTTTTAAGTAAATGTTATTTTTGAGCTGAGGCTGATAAGGCTGGAGATAACTGAAAAAAATTAAAAGTTGTATATGTGCCTTCTAATGGAGAAAGAACAAGAATGTTCTCACTATTGTTCAGTGAAAGATTCTATATCCATGAAGTTGCCTAATTCTGAACTTCCTTTTCCTAGTGGACTTAGGGGTTTGCTTAGCCTGCATTGACACTGAGTAATGTGCTGCTTAGTACCATTGTAACAGCTTCACAGTAATATGTTTGACTGTACAATGCTGACTACATTCACCTCCTGATATTGTCAGTTACTCTTAAATTCACTTAATAAAGATATAGTTTAGCCTTGTGCAATATTTTGTAGTCTCATTTCATTACTAAGTTTGTTTTTCAAGAAATGTATTCAAAATTTTGAGGACAGTACTTTTGCATAAACTATACTTATATGTCCTTAAACTTTATCATTTGGGTATTTATGTTCTAAAATTTTGCTTCTCATACACACAAAAGCAAACACACATCTATGGCATAATAAATAAATGTAGAATAAATTCATTTTTGAAGAAAATTATTGAATGACCACAAATTTTGTAAGTAATTGTTTCTATTTCTACCTTCATATAAATTCATATAGTTATAAGGTGATTCTAACCATACCAAATGTCTTTCTAGAGATACATTGACAAAGGAAACAGGACATACACATGGACGCCAGTCAATGGGACAGATTACAGGTAATTAACTATATTTATATGTGCACTGTACCAAAAAGTATTCACTTCAGTGTCTTTTTCTAACTTTTAGTAGTCATTTTCAACTGCCAAAGAGCAGTACAGTGATGTGTAGATCGTTTCCATTGCGGGGCCTTGGAAAGCTAGACAGCCTAATACCCAATCATCTTTCAGAAAGTGGGCTCTGACCACTGATGTACTTTTCCTGATGGCCAGGACAAAATGAACTGACACTTTTCACAAGGATGGAGAATTCAAATCAACCTGAGCATTCTACCTGAATGAATTTCTAAAGCTCTATGTAAGACCTTGATCACTGTTATCTCTTCCTTTTCTAATAAATGGATCAAAACCACTGCCCTTCATGGCTCTCTTCTCCATGTTTTCTTCACTATAGCACTCTCCTATTACCAGCACTATATACTTCATTAAAGGTGACTGAAATAAAGCACTTGCAAACTCATATATCACCTAAAATTCATGAACTCTAACCTCAAGTGGGACTTTATAAGGCTTTGGGAGCTCAATAATTTAGTAAATTTTAGATGCTGATAGATGACTTTTGATGGCTTCTTTCCTCTCTTCAAGCATGCAGCACTGTCTCACCCATTTTTCTCACAAGTGTTGGTTTTGCTTCCATCTCACTGAGAAAAATAGGATTGGTCAGAGGAAACTTCCACTGCCACTACAGTACATAACTACTTACATTGGTAGTGTAACTCTGTCTGCTGTCCGTTTCTATCCTCAACACAATGAAAAAATGTTCTTAATATACTTGAGTTAGATTGTTTCAATTTAATCAAAACCACCCAGTAATTCACTATTTCAATCAGTCTCCTCTACTCAAACCCCCCAATAATCTCATTCAGTGTACCAGCCAAAGTCTGTCATGGTCATTTGACCCCACTTACCATTAGCTCTCTGAATTTCTCTCTCAGATTCTCCGTTGAACACCCTCTTCTTAAGCCATATTGTCCTCTTGCTATCTTTCTTCATAAATACTGTTCTGTTTTGCTTGAGGGCCTCTGTTCCTGATCATTTCTCCCTAAAATATCCTCCTCCAAATAGTCATATGCTCACTCCCTCACCTTATTCTCATTCTAGCTTACTTTTTATCTCCTCCGAAAGGCCTTCAACAATTCTAATTAAAATTTTGTCTCACCACACTCCACTTCCCTCATTTGTCTTACATTTTCTACAGCCTTTCTCACCATTTTACATTGTACACAAGCACATATGCCTGAAATTACATAAAAGAGAAATTTATTTCTGTTGACTATCATATGTATTCTCTTAATACTAAATAAGAGGGCAGAGAATGGTTCCTGATTCATATTTCTGAATCACATGCTCCAAAAACAGTTGCACACAGTAGGCACTCTCCAAATATGTATCGAATTGAAAATTTTGAATGTGAAAATATTGAAGAATTTTTAAATTAAAGGAGTTTCAAATCTGTCTCATCTTGTCAAACTCCTATAATGATGTCCAAAACCTTGATTGCAATATTCAAATGTGGAGATCTCTTCAACTGTATATCCAATTAATATGTATTCTAATTAATAAGCCTGTTGGATGCAACTATTTCTGTGTCTTTCCTTTACAACTCTGCAGAATATACACGTAATCTTTTGGGGAAGCCTAGAGTGCTGGGGACACCCCTAGAGCTGCAAGGTTGTTTTCATAGGAAACTGTCTTCTTTTGTTCTTGGAATGGCATAGGCAGTATAGAAGAAGAGAACATAAATATTGATGTCTTGATGTACTACTTGCCAGTCCTCTTCACTGTATTCAGTTTTAGGACCTACTGAGAAATAGCAGAGACTGTTTTAACTATTTTTCTTATTTCCTTCTACTGAATCCTATCTCTAACTTTTATCTAGGTATTTCTTCACATGCATACAGTCGTCATAGACATAAACAACTTGTTCTTTTTTCTCCCTCTTTCTTGATTGCTGTCACTTTTCAGTTTTCCAATAAATTTGTCAAAAGGTGTGAAGAAAGGTGACATCTTGGAGCTCCGTCTCCTCACAGATGATTTTATTATACAAGAAATTATTGGGTACACTGTGTAGAAATGTGCTCCATGCCTTTGTTGATCAGATGAACAAGCTCTGTGTTAGAAACACTGTACCCTGACAATGAGTCATTAATGAAGCCTGATTCTATTGCAGTTATGAGGCTTTTTGGGGGTAAAGTTTTCATGACACTCTGCTTGAGTATGTTTGGAATTGTTTCCTAAATGGCTTCTAATTCAGCCTGTTCACTCATACACCCAGTAATAAAACACAGTGTGGACAGGTTAATGTTCTTTCCTCAAATTCAATGTCTATCCCTGTTAACAAGCATTAAACTTGGACTTCTAAAGTTGATATTCATATCACACATTTTTAGCCCAACCTGCTGCTCTATCATCACACATCTCACTGTTCTCTGAAGAGGCCCAGCTTCTTCACTTTGCATATTTTCCTTACACATTCCCTTCTTACGTCTCTAACTGTGGTCCAAATTAAATATGCTTCCCTTATAATTGCATCCCTGAATCTCTGGATACATACATTCAATATGTTCTAATAACAATTAGAACAAAATATTACATTTAACTGGAAGAAAAAATATGCTTTGATTGAATGAATGCAATGCCAAATTATGGACAGGTGAATTCTGTCATCTTCAACTTTGTTCTAACTTAAATATTATATTTTGAAATATAGTAATGGATAAATTATTTTCATGGGATTCTTTCTCTTTTTAATGAAGAGTTTACTTTGATGAAGATAAATGAGTTGAAAAGTGTATTATATCCCATTTAACTCAGTTAAGTATGCTTATGTGAGCCACAAAAACATGGGCTCTACCATCTACCTAGTAGTCACTTGCTTTATTACATTTTAATCTTCAAGAGGAAATAAGCAGCCTTGGTCTACTGGTTTTATATGGAGAGAAACAGCAAATATTGCCTATGACAGCACTATTGCCTTCAATGTTAGCTGTCAATATGTGGAAGAAACAAGTGTGGGGCTGAATTAAAAATAAGTATAACTGTATTTTTTTATAGAACAGGATTGTGGCTGTGAATAACATTAGTTTTGCAGACCAACACACTGTTTCTGACAGGCCAGTTTTAAAGTTTCTCTTGTGTTCCTCATGAGTTTCCATAGTATTTTTTGTGGTATGTGAGTACATCTCACATACCCAAGCTCACAGAGTGACACTGTAGCAGTCACATTATATAATGTTATCGGTTTTAATTAGAAGTTTCTCTTAGCTATAAATGCTGATAGAGCCATAAAAATGCTCTAATTTCCCTTGAGAGGAATTTGTACAAGACAGTCTTCAATGCTCAGTAATTTTGCTCTATGTTTCATAAATGGCAAGTGAATCACGAAAGGTCATCTTGCTTTCAGACTGATTGAACTGCTTATTTTAATTTTAATCTCTGCCTGCACTTCAAGATACCTATAAAATGAATGTAGAAATTTTCATTAGATCTACGTAACATTTTATATCCCTGACCTTTTCCCATAAGGAAAGTCAGTGAATTACTTAATGATGGTGAAAGATTTGGGAATTGGAGGTAACAAGCATCTACTCATTTTGCTTTCTTTACTGCATGATTAAATTTAACAAGTAAATCCTTCCTTTCCCCTGTTCTTTGTAGAGTGAATTTTCAACATTTTTATTCATAAAAAGGACAATCTGTAATTTATAATTTATCTTAATCTATGATAGCTATTAATAACATGTAATGTGATTACAGTTTGTATTTCCATCCTCAAAGCTGAGGGGGATACATGAGATTTGAGTGACTTAAAAATCTGCAAATACGTAAGAAAACTCAAAGGCCTAGAGATGCACATTTTTTCCTGTGCATCACTAATATTGGGGTAAATATTAAACTGAATGCCCGGGGATACAATTGGCCACATTAATAAACTGTTGCCTTTTGTAAAGTAGTTGCATTGGTCCTTAGAGATAGCCTCTTTTATTTTTTTTTTTTTTGTATCCATAGCTCACTAGCTTCCCTCTATTTTCAGAGACAGCAAAGATCATTTGCAATTGCATGTGGTGATATGGAATCATCAGTTATGTCTTACACATGAGTATTAGTGTGATAACTTATCCATATGCAGTTGTTACTGGAAGCTGCATAATCTGAGTTGTTGTAAACACCATGTGTTTTATTAATTAGAAATTGAAAAATAATTAAGGTTACCTGCCTAACAGCTTTTTATTTTGAGCAATCATTAAGACAAGGTTTTAATGACAGGTTTTTTTTTAATGTCCTTTATGTCTAAAGTGTTCTGAACTTGTCCTAAGATTTGCACTGGCATTCTCCTTCACTTAGGACATCTACCATGGCTCTTGTGAACTATTGAACTTAAGATATTTTTGTCCTTGTACAAATCGTATGGATATTCACAGTACATCAGTTGTATAGCTAGTCATACAGATGGGTAAGAAGTGATGAAACATGCACATAATCCCTTCAGTACTATAGAAGGTCTGAATTTGCCCACAAACAGACATTGGGGAATTTGTCCAAGGATCAGAGTTTCAAAAACAGTATTTAATCTCTCAAATGAATAAATGTCAGATGCCTTATACATTGTGTAATAGTAGCAATAACTCTTTCATTTGTGATTTTTGATTGTTTGACACAAAACATTTTAACATTATATACAATACGCTAAGGAGACAGTATTCAAGTTGGTATGATATATTGCTTTCTTTAAACATTCTTGTTTGTCAAAATGTATTTAATTTTCTGGAACTAGAGTGGAGGGCCTATGTCATTTCTTGTCAGCCAATTTATGGTTGCATTTGGTAGCTTATCTTCCATATATCTTTTGGTTCCCAACCATATAGAAAGCGGGATGACTATAGATGGCAAGACTGACATTGAGTGCTCTATTTGATGAATACATTTTCTTGTGAAAGTAATATATACATCCCTTCCCATGAGTAAGATCTTTGGGTTTTCCCATGAACTTGATGTGTCTTTTTTTCAGTTATGTTTCATTTTTGTTTGTTTTGTGTTTATGCTTCTCTTGTTTCTATTGCAGTTTGGCCTTGGTATTACCAACCTACAGTTTTTACTATATAAAAGCCAAAATAGAAGAGACAATAACTCAGGCCAGATGTAAGTACTGTGAAAGCAACTTCAGGGTCTGTTTGTTATCTCCTAGTCTCAGATGTTTAAATACGTCTAGATTTTGGAATACCCAAGGCTTATACATTTTAGTAGGTGTTATTACCAAATCTACAGCAATGATTCTAACCCATTCCAAACATGCAAGGAACAAGAAATATTCTACATGGCTAGAATATGAGCAGGTACTCCAGTCTCACTGGCAGTCCCCACCACCCTTCCCTGCCTTGCTATGTGCTCGTAGAATCATTGCAGTGCTGTGTCCTCTGTTGCTGTCATTTTAAGGGTCTGCTAGCTCTCGTGAAATGTTTCACATGCTAAGTTTTAACATGGTCTCTACTCATGGCATTGTGCTAGTAAAGCTTTTCTTTTTCTTATCTTTCCTCTTTTATTTATTTATTTTTGCATTTGGCCAGAATAGTGTCATGCTTGGCAACTAATTTCCATAATCCAAATTAATGTCTCAGTAACTCAATCAGATTAGCTCCTTTTAAGCATCATTTGGAATGTGGAGTAATATTAACACTATTGCATATTTTAAGTCATTATTTATTTTGTTTTGGGTGACTAGATCTAGTAAAGTAAAATGACCATCATATCCTTTGTACACTGCTCAATTATTAACAACCTAAAATTTTTCCGTTAGGATTAAGTCAAAACAAACAAAAAAAAGTATCTTTTTTTATCTGACTTTAAACTACAATTTCCTCCATGACTCTGCCAGTTCCTCTTACAAATTCTTTTCAGACCTGGTGTTCATGGTGTACTGTGCTATACTCTACATTTACAGTTGCACTTTCACTTAATAGATATGATGGTCTTTTAACAAGCGGTAATTTTGCATGAGCTAGTTCTTGATAAGTGAGGGGATAACTAGTGAGTCTTTAATGGTTGGTAAGTGCTTCTGTTAATAGGCTGACATCATTGGTATTGTACCTGTGTTAGCCACTTTACAAAATAGACCCTTGAAATAGCCAAAGTTCAGAGAGGGTTATCTAGCAAAATTGACAAGGACATACCTTCCAGATTTCAAAAATGTGTCTTTTTTCCAGACTGCAGCTGTACATAAATGAACCTTTGATCTATGCACAATATTTTTATTCAAGAAAGGCATTGAATAAAATATTGTTTGTGACCCCTTTTGCTTTACCCTCTTTTTTTTTGTTTCCCTGCTTTCTCTTTCTGATGGATTTACAGCAAAAAAGGGCAAAATGAAGGGCAAGTATTTTCTTGTTGTTCAATTTCTTTCTGTTAGTACACTTGACATTTCCACTGATATTTCCATTCCTATTGGATATTATCCTCTGTGCTTTTCATTGGCTGGATTTTCCTTTGTGAACACTGAAACATTACCAGTTAAAGTGAGGGGAAGAATATGCATGTGTGTTCATTTACAACCTGTTTCATATTGATATTTTTTATCCTTCTACCTTCTAGTTCATACCTAATATAAAGATTGTTATTAATTCATTAGAGTTTATCAAAGCATTTTCTTTATCATAATACTTCATAATACTGCTACACTTTTTCTATTAGCATCTTAAATACAATACCTAGTGTAACACTGATATTTATCTCTTTTTAAAAAGATATTTGATTATTTTAGAGCTAATAAGTGAGAAAAACATAGGCAGCATTTTATCTGATATAAGTATTGTAATCACATAATGAAGCTGGTCCACGATGTGATAATATTATTTGGGAAGCATTGAGGATCTTTATAGTTATTTATTGTTTCAACTTTTGGATGTAAGTAGTTTGTTTTTAATTTTTCTTACTAGGCACTTTTGATAATGCCTTCTTAATTGTCTTAGAATCTTGGAATATCTCCTCTGTATTGTTCATCTAATCTTGTAACATTATCTTTGCAGATTCTGAAACCCTGAAGCCAGATAATTTTGAAGAATCTGGCTATACATTCATAGCTCCAAGGTTGGTTTTGTTTTGTTTTCATTTATTATAATTCATATTATTGGGTAAGACCGTCAAGAAAAGTTCTGAATTGGGGTCAAAACTGCTGTAGGTTAATTGTATGTCACACGATGGAATCAAAGAGAACAATGACTTTAAGACAGTACAGTATCCTGTTTATTCATTAAAATACTTTCTAAGCCATTATTGTATATTAAGCAGTGTGGCAACCCGGGTATACAGTGGTTAATAAGACAGATGCAGGTTTTTTTCTATGGAATACACACTGCAGGGAATAGTCATGGAGAGTTTGTGTGTATATGTATATACACAATGCACACATGTACACAAATATACCCATGTGGCAGTGTGTCTCACATGCATACTCATGCATGTATACATAGGTATGTATATATATGTAAATAGGTATATTTGTTCACAAGTCTTGAATGTTTTAACCTCATAATTGATTTCTGTTTATACAGCCTATGTGAAAATATAAATTTAATATAGTGTTATTGCTTCATATAATTTTTCATTTGAACATTTTTTTTCTCCTACTTAATTTTATTTTTCTCTCACATAATCTCCTTTCCCTATTCCTAATATAAAGCTTTTTTACCCCATTTCTAGTAATTGTTTGAAAGTATTCAATAATCCAACAGTGTCCTTTGCTTTTATTTTATCCCTCAGATTTTGATACTGCCTCTCTAGCAGACATATTGTCAGTTAAAATTAATATATTTCCTAGTTACCTAGTGTAAATTATTGAAGAAAAGAGATGCAGAAGCTTGCATTATTAATTTTTGTATACTTAAAGAAAATTATTATAAAAACCAAAAGAGGGCTTCTAAAAATTCTTGAGTTACTCCTCTATTTTGGCATAAACAAATTTCTGAATATTGATTCTACATGAAAATAAGAAGTATATGTAACATTTTGAGAAATTGTAATTAACAAAGTTTATTTTGGGTGCTGTAGGTGACTCTCCCTTTGAGATGTCTCTCCTTGAATTTCTTTTGGCATCTAGACTGCTGATCACTCCCTCTTTGGCATTCTTTGCCTCCTTTTGCTGGATGACATACTTTGCTGATTTTCTTCCTTCCTGTCAAAAACTTTTCCATGAGATTTGTTTCTTCTGCTGATCACTAAGACTCCTAAATCTAACAAGATGCCTGTAATAGCTAGAAGCAAAAAGACAAAATAAATGACTTATTGACATTGCATTGCAAGATAGGATTGAGTATATGTCCAGACTTTGTGTCTACCCTACATTTTTCCACATAAAACATTCATATCTCGTGGAAACTAAGGAGAATATTTCTTCAATGTGCTTCAAATTTAGAATCTTATAAATATTGTCCTCTTTGGAAAGCTCTTCGAAGTTCTTGGGCTGCTTCAAGAAAGAAAATTCCATTCTCCCAATGTGAGCCTTGGAATGTGTTACTTGTCCCTGCCTGCTCCCTTTCCCTGATACCTAACTATTAACCAATCACCACATCTTGTCAGTTCTATCTTAGAACTTACAGAGTGTGTCCATCACTCTCTACCTTACCCCACCCCAGGCCATTGCCTTTATTCACCTAAAATATTATAGCCACCTGCTAATTGATCTCTCTACCTTCACATTTCCTCCTTATGTCCCAGTACTGTGTCTGTTTTGTAACTAGAAAGAGTTTCTTCAATGTGAGGAAAGTGATTGTTCTTATCAGCTAACTACTAACCAAAGGCCTTATATTTTCCTCACAACAATCTGTATTTGATATTGCAGCCTTCAAATCATCTGTTACCATGTCTCAGTGCACTATGAGGTACCCCTTACTCTAAATTAGAGGCTTGCAGATTTGCTGCCTATTTTGTAGATAAAATTTTATTTGCATACACATACACATACACACACATCTTCATATACTGTTTCTAGCTGCTTTTACTCCAGAGGCAGAAGTGTTTAGTCCTGACTTAGACGTTATGGTCCACTGAGCCTGAATCATTTACTATATGAACCTCTGAGAAAAAAGAGTACCTACCCTGTTGTACATTCTACACACTGAGCTCTCACTCCTAAGTGTGCTGGTGTTGTTGTTCTTTACCATCTTTTCCCCACCTGTTCTTTTTTCTACTTTGGACTATATTTATACACACATATAGTGCTCTCTTCCAAATCCTAATTTCAAACCTCCTTGATCTGGGAATTTCTTTCCATTTTCAATAGATTGTGCATCCCTGTTGACTGCTTCTCAGACTTCAGCATGTCCTTTTTTCAGAGCTCTGACCAGGTTTCATTTTAATTACAGTCCTTGACAGAATCACTTTGTGTCTACTTGAGTTTCCATTCAATACTGAATTTCAAATCCTTTTCCTGGTAAACTGTAGATGCTGAATAAATATTGGTGACTGGAGAGTCTATAAATGAATATTATGAAAAATCCTATGATTAACAATAATACCTGAAATTTTACTAGCACTTTACCAACATAAGTAACTTTGAATAACTTTAAGTTAACTTGGTATTTTGAGTAACTTAAACTGTTGAAATCAGTTTTAACTAGAAAGAATATTCTCAATATTAATATTTGCCTTTTATATTTTAAACATTAAGGAGAACGCTAACTAAGAAAAGAGATGCTTCCCACAGAATATTAACATAACAAAATGTAAGAAAAGACTGAAATTAGGCTTACTATGTTGATAAGATTTTTTCTCCATCTTAGATGTGTTTTTCTCTGGAAAGTTTCTTCACTTATTTCCCCAGTTCTTACACAGAAAACCATGCAGACTGGCCTCCTCAGCTTACTATTTAACATGGTAGAAAAGATGAAAAATCTAGATGCCTAATTTATAGGCAGTGGTTTTGTTTAGCCCACCAGTTACTAGCATATGGGTTATTTCTCTGGCATAAGTCATTATTGATATTAGTACAGCTACTGGAAAGATAGAATTCACCTGTGTTTACCTGAGAAGGGAAGAAATGTACAGAGCAGACCAATGGTTGTCAACCTTACTTGACATGTATTAAGCCCTTTACATTCACTGCTTAAAATAGCTCTGCAGTAAATTAATGTTACTATGCCATATAATAGATGAGGAATCAGTCTTAAAGCTGTTAAATAAAATGAGATTTGAACCAATGTCCTTGCTACTCCAAGGTATAAGTATGTACATTGAATAAGTAAATGCCAAGGCATCTCAAAAGAACAACCCGTACATCTGAGTAGAATATTCTTACAATGAAGGTTTTTGGAAAAATATTGAATGTGTATTCAAAGAGTGATAGAAAGCAAAGTGACAAAATGAGACAAAGAAAAGACAGAAATTTATGTGGTACAGGACTGTAAATTACCTTTTTCTGCCTCTGTTACTGATGAGAAACAATGATGCAAGCGCTACTATTTTTTTATATCTTCATCGTCATAACTTATTCAAGTTCTCATACTTTAGTTTCATGATTTGAAGAATAATGTCTCTCTTATACAGTTCTTATTAGCTTCAAACAAGATAATGTATGGAAATACTTATCAGAGCTCTTAGTAAGATATGAGCTCTAATAAGTGTCAGTTATCATTATTGACGGTAGAGCAGAAGACAGTAGTGGTTGTAGAGCATTATTTAATAAAAGATGTTAAACATGGTTATTTTAAAATAAAGAGCTTATCAATTTTACCAATAAGCCACTGTTGTTAATTTCTAAATAAATTATGCTATTTGATCCTGATAATAATATTTGCAATTCCCTTAAATTTTAAAATGACTACAAAGGGAAACACAGAACATGGTTCCTATGTTTAACAGGCATACAGTTATAAAGATGAAAATCTAAATTACAGATTAATTTTACAATTTTCTTGGATACTCAGAAATAAAGATGAATATAGCCTATACTTAAAAATATTACTTACAAGATATGACATATAAGCTTATCAAGCAAAATAGGAATAAACTCTCCTTTGGTATTCTACAAATAATTTTCCAAATTCCCAATGCCATAGTTCTTTTAGTTTCAAATCTGTTTACATTACGAAGCCCATTTAATCAGAAATACAAAATAGCCCAAAGAAATTATAGCTTTTAGGCCTTAAAGGGGATTTTTAGCAAATTGAAATTTCTTTTTTTTCTTTAAAGTTATCCAAAACATTTCTCCCTGTTACTGCCTCATTTTTTCTGAAGATTGTTTTCCTAAGAGAGACTAATGATGAATGTATATAAAGTGAATTTCTTTTAGAGAAATTTTGCCACCAGGAATGTGTATCAGGAACATGTATCGCATGTGTCCTGCAGAAACCTCTGAGCTGTGTTGTTAACCACGTTATTACATGGCCACTTGCTCTCATGCCATAGTTGCTTTGAAACAAAAATCTAAGAAATGATGACTGATTATCCTGAGTTTCATCTCCCTGCCCTGTAATGAACAATCATTAGGATAATTAACCAACTTCTATGCTTTCTGCCCAGCCACACATTCATGTTTGATGATTCAATGAGGTCATTTTCTCTTGTCCACTGGATCATTCGTATGGCTAGAGAACTCATTCTACTGGTACAGCATTCAGTATCTCGTTTCCATTGTTTAAATTATCTCTCCGTTGTTTCCATTCCTAATTCAACAATTCTTAAACTAGTATTTTCAGCATTTTCGTAGCTTTTGTCATTACTGAGTATCAGAAGGTAAATCATACCTTTAGACTACTTCAAAATTAAGCCAAGCCAGTCAGCAGGAATAAAAACAATAAGATGCCCAAATTGGCTGTTTACATACTATTGATATAGGTCAAAATTGCTTTTGGCTTTGAGTTTTGTGGTAATAAAAGTTCACAAAGTGAAGGTTCATAGCTGATTTCATGATGGAAACGCATTTGAATATGAAAACATGGCTTCTCAAGGCTTCACCATTTGCTAGTCAACTGTCTTTGGGGAAATCTGTTTACATCTTAGAATCTCAGTTTTCTGCACTTTAAAATCTTAAATACTTTTTTAGTGAGGGTATTTTTAATGTAAATGAAAAAAATAATCTTAAAAATGTCTTTTAAATAAAAAGTGGTATTTCAGAAATGGTTCTGTTAGTAAGTACTTGCAACATTTTATTTGGTCCTTTTAAAATCTTGCCATCAGCTTCTAATTGTGTGAAATCATAACTCAATATATTAGTCTTTGGACTACAATCTTATCTTTTCTGACAGCATGTCTCTATAAGGACATATTTTCTTACTGTCCCCAAACAAAATCTTACAATTGATTGAATGCAGAGAATATATTCAGTCAATTTCATTAAGTCTTCTGTTATATTTACCTCCTGAGGTAAAGATATTTGAAAATATGTAAAGTGATGTCACATTTTTACTAATTATTAAATATAGTAATTCTTTATATAATGAGCTTAACAATATCTTAATGAATAATTTAAATTTTAATTTCTATATTAAAAGTATTAAGTGAAACAAAACCTAATACTTCTCTTTTTTTTATTGTGCTGGGTGGGGGTACATTGTGGTACTTACAAATGTTCTTACAATATATCAAATATATCATACTTGAGTTCACCCCTCCATCATTCTCCTTTATCCTCCCTCTCACTGTTCTTGGAATAGTTTCTACAGGTCTTATTTTTCCGTTTGCATATATGTGTACACAGTATTTGCACAATATTCACCTTCCCTTGACCTAATACTCTCTGAGCATGCATTGTCCAGAGACCAGGCATTTTGTAAACATTATCTGTAACCTCACCACTGACTGGCAAAGTATTTTTTTTTCATTTTTCTTTTATTATTCATATGTGCATACAAGGCTTGGTTCATTTCTCCCCCCTGCCCCCACCCCCTCCCTTACCACCCACTCCGCCCCCTCCCTCTCCCCCACCTCAATACCCAGCAGAAACTATTTTGACTGGCAAAGTATTGTAAGCAAGAAATTCAACGTCTTCCAAATTCATGCAGCTAGTAAAAAATAATTTTACTGCTTCTAATTTTCCTGTAAAGCATTTGTTTTAATGTCTAATATCCTGAAATATATTTTTTTCAGAGAATACTGCAATGACCTTAAACTATCAGATAACAACACTGAATTTCTTTTAAATTTTAATGAGTTTATTGACAGGAAAACTCCAAACAACCCATCATGTAAGTATGCACTAATTTGCAGTTATTGCTTTAGTGTGGTTACATTTGAAATGGTCATAACTATGCTCATATAAGTGTCTCACATCATAGGATAGTCATTAGTTTACTGGCATGCTGGTTTATTTATTTTATGAATTCAATGGCAAGATTTAACAATTTGGTCCTTAATTGTGTATACTCAAAATGTCATTTCATTCTTATGTGTAATCAAATTTTGACAGTAAAGCAATAGATATTTGCACGAGGTTAAATGTAATTAGGGTATGCTCATCTTAGCTCCTCTTAAATTTGGAAAATTTAATTTTGAATGATATTTTGAAGATTTCTTGCATTGCTCCTGGCATATATAGGAGAAAGAGCAACATATTTTTGTTAATATATTTATACCTTCTAATTTGTGTGAATTTTAATATAGTAACGTAGAAAACAAAACATAAAGAGCATCACAATGGTTTTCTTTCCTTATGAACTACTTTGATCACAGTAAATTTTTATCTTAAAAATATGCTTCTACAATTTACTTAATAAAGCAAATCAAGTAGGGATAAATACGAAATTTTAATAGTTTTTATATTTTTGTCTTTCCTGTACATTTGCATCATTTGTACTATGAGACTTTGTACAGATTTATCAATTTTTGACGTTGAAAAAGTTTAAAAGTCAAAAGTGTTTTCTTCTGAAAAATATCCTAGAAAACTGCTTTCAGGGGCTGGAGGTGGTAGTGTTTGCCTGGCAAGCCCAAGGTCCAAATTAAATTGTCCTGCACCACATTGGAAAAAACTGTCCTCAGGAACAAATACAGTGCAAGTGGGAAGTAAAAAGGGAAAACCAAATGCATATTAAAATTCACCCTAAAATATATTTATATATGTTTCAAATTATAATTGGCTATTCTCCTTCCTTCTCCTCTTTCTACCTTTTAAAAATTACTTATCAGAAAGGACTAAATAAAGTACTTTATCAGTTATCAAAAATGAAAAGCCTATCTTAAAGCTCTCTTTCCAATTTGAATGTGTCGTGTAAGAAAAGACATTTTACCTCCAATTCAGCACAAATCAACAAATGGGTTCAAATAGCCACACTGAAAACCTGCCAAGGGCAGCTGAAATCTACACATCAAGCCTTAACATGACAATTCCAAACCTTTCTTCTTGGTGTGGGTTCACTCTGACTGAGCTAGAGCCTTCAAAGTGTTATTTTATGTCATTGTTTATTTCCTATTATTAAGTAGCAAGCATTATAAGAAAGGACTAAAATAAAAATCATTGTTGAATATTCCTTTAATTGGATACCAAAATTATGTAATACGCTCATAGACCTGGCAGAAATGTTTGTAAAATGTTTTTTCTTAACATATATCATACCTTCAAAGTATGATAATTGGAGTCATTCTTTTTTCACACTGCCTCTAGCCCCTAAGAAAATATAAATATGTTTAAGCAAAATCTCAGTATAATCCATACTTCTATCTTCTTCCTTTATACCACCTTATCTTCTATTTGCCTCCCCTAAAGTCCAATAAGAAACATTTAAGATGATTATATAATCACATGAAGAACTGAGAACTATAGGAAATAACTCAGCTATAAAAATATTTATAGTCCATTGACAGTGATAATTATAGATTTTTCTCAATAAAATTTTTGTCTTTTGTTATCAAATAATATGAAAACCTAGCTTTAAAACTAGGTATCAGCCATTGAAGTCTCTGATCTAAATAATTTTTAAAGAAAGGAATCAAGTTTAAATTTTGTTTCTAAAAGCACCTCTGCTCAACCCATTGGTGAAATTAAAATTCTCACCAAAGTTTAAATTGATTTGCTAACTTCCATAAGCACTTGTGATTTGTAATGGTTCGCTTCTTTAAACTTTTTCTTATCTTTTAACTAATGTTTATGAGATTGTGTGGGTGCAAAATGCTAAAGGTCAGTGCAAATAATTATTTATACATTGTATATATCCAGCTACAGTATATATATTTCAAGACACTTAAAGCATAAGGAAATTATGATCAAAATTATAAAATTACTTACAACCTTGATAATATATTATAAATTAGAATAATAGTCTCACTTGTTTTACCAGAAAGGATTAGAGATAATTAAAATGTATCATTTCCTTTACAGATGGACTATTTTTAAGATGATATAGTTTCTAACTAAAATAATATAATGAAAAATAAGTTCATATACTCAATATGTAGTATACTATATGGATTAAATTGGTCCTTCAATCCCAAGTAAAAGATATATTAAGTTAAAACCAATTGAAATGTTTTCAGCCTATCTCTCCCCTACTTCTTAAAGTAATTGGATATTCACTAAGGTCATATATTCCTTATCTGAATAAAATGAAATTTTATCATAAATGTGAAATTTCAGATGGTACCTGTAGGTTATTTCAGAGCTTCATGGGCTTACAGCAGAACACCCCCAAGAAAGGGAAAAGGTAAAGTTGTTTAAGAATGTTTACTATTTGACCTTTGGTCCTCATTATCTATTCCTTCTGCTACCTTGAACTTGGGCTAACACGCTTTTCAGTTATTCCAGAAATGACAACCTGAAGTCTGTGCTCTAGAACCAATACCAGTAGGATCTAAAAGCTAGTCTTGGAATAGTACTTGTCTGGCATAACTATTCTGTTCCTCGCAACTGCTCCAAAACAAACAAACAAAAAAAATTTCTTGACTTTTTCATAAAGTCAAATTTACTCCATGATTATCTTATGACCCCTTTTTTTGGACATTCCAAAATAAAGGAGAATTAAGCTACCTTTTCTTATAAAAGACAATAACTTTTTGTTTAATGTTTTTACTGTGTAACTTAGAGTTAACAATCCTGTGAGATATACATTGATTTGTATATATAATTATATGTATATAAATTTTATATACACACATATATGTGTGTATATATATATATATACACACACACACACACACAGAGAATTGCCTATGAAATTATTATGGTTTAGAGCCACCATACTAACCCATACAACCAAACAAAAAAGGGAAGACTATTTCTTCACTGTTTCTTAAAATGGCATAATTTAAGTATCTTTTTGACAAAATTTACATAACAATGTCTCTTTGGATTTGGCTTTCCCACTGCTAATTCCTTCCACAGTCCAAAAAATATAAGGCAAGGATGAACAATAGAGAAAACATGAGATAATTATGGAATGTATATTGAAATTCATTGAAATATCCACTCTAAATTGCATTTGCAGATAGAAATTATATTTGTTTTCAATATTCTAATTTAAAAATATGTGAGTATAATTGCAGATATCCTTTTTCTGTGTTAGGTAATACAGACTTGATTAATAGAGTCCTACTGGATGCAGGCTTTACAAATGAACTTGTCCAAAATTACTGGAGTAAGCAGAAAAACATGTAAGTATGTGTTTCTACTAATAAAAAGTTTGCATTTTGCATTCCAGTTTAGTGTCTCCCTGGGAAATTTTTTAGTGGGCCTCATAAACTCAAGGTTTGTTATTTATCTTTGATAATAATTTCTTAAGAAAATAATTTTACAGTTGTTGACAATTTGCATTTTCAGTTGTGGATACATTTCTGTATTAATATCCACCATTGCTAGCTTTGCACTGCAGTATGAATGAACCAAATTAAATAGGCATTTTGTGTGTCTCTGTGTTTGTGAAAAGTAGGATTTCTAGTGAATGTATGGTTGACTTTCTAATGGCATCTACCATGTCTTCTGAACAAATGGAGAAATCTGAGTATGATTCCCATTTACATTTTCTTCTCTACCCCTTTCCCATTCAATCACTAAGTGCTGAATATTTCTCTTCTTAACAATGTTTTCCTCTCTTCTTCATAATCAATGTGCCAGGCAGGAGCTCTTACCACTTGAGCCACTTCACTACCTTTTTGTATGTGTGTGTGTACTGGGTATTGTTGAAATAGGGTCTCACAAACTATTTGCCCAGGCTGACTTCAAACCATGATTTTCCTGATTTCTGCCTCCTGATCTGAGTAGCTAGAATTACAGGCATGAGCCACCTGCACCCAACCTAAGAGCCCATTTTTTAAGACAGTAAAGCAACTGACTTTCATGCCTTTTAGTGCTCTTGTTCCTCTAACCACAACTCCCAGTCAATTTTCCACACAATGCATACTGGCCAGTCTTCTACAATGCCTTTCTGATTTCAAAATAGAGATGGAGTCATTGCCTATGCCTACTAATTCCAGTGTATTCCCTGCTCTTTCCTGTACTAGTTTCAAAGTTTCAAGTCTTATATTAAGATCCTTAATCCACTTTGAGTTAATACTTGGACAGGGTGATTGACATGGATCTAGTTTCAGTTTTCTGCATGCAGAGATCCACTTTTTTCAGCAAATTTGTTGAAGAGGCTGTCTTTTCTCCGTTGTATATTTTTGGTGGCTTTGTCAAAAATCAGGTGGGTGTAGCTGTGTAGATTCATATATGTGTCTTCTATTCTGTTCCACTTGTCTTCATATCTGTTTTTGTGCAGTATCATGCTTTTTTTATTGCTATGGCTCTGTAGTACAGTTTGAAGTTGGATATTGTGATACCTCCAGCATTGCTCTCTTTGCTCAGTATTGCCTTGGCTATTCTCAGTCTTTTGTGCTTCCAAATGAACTTTAAGGTTGGTTTTTCAATCTCTGTGATGAAAGTCATTGGAATTTTGATGGGAATTGCATAGAACATATAGATTGCTTTTAGTAGTATAGCCATTTTTACTATGTTGATTATACCAATCCACGAGCATGGGAAATCTTTCCATCTTCTGTAGTCTTCTTTGACTTCTTTCTTCAATGGTTTATAGTTTTCCTTGTAGAGGCCTTTCTTATCCTTGGTTAAGTTTATTCCTAGGTATTTTATTTTTGAGGCTATTATAAATGGAATTATTTTCCTATATTCTTTTTCAATCTGTTCATTGTTGGTGTACAGAAAGGCTACTGATTTCTGTAAATTGATTTTGTATCCTGCTACTTTACTGAAGCTAGGAGTTTTTTGGTGGTTTTTTTTTTTTTTTGCTTCTTTTAGTTATAAGATCATGTCATCTGCAGATGGGGATAATTTGGCTACTTCCTTTCTAATTTATATTTCTTTTAGTTCTTCTTCCTGTGTTATTGCTCTGGCTAGGAGTTCCAAGACTATGTTGAATAAGAGTGGAGAGAGTGTGCACCCTTGTCTCATTCCTGACATTTGAGGAAATATTTTTAGTTTTTCTTTGTTTAGTATGATGTTAGCTATAGGCCTGGTGTATATAACCTTTATTATGTTGAGGTAAATTCCTTTTATTACTAGTTTCATCAGAGCTTTTATCATGAAAGGATGTTCTTAGAACTCTTAGTTGGCATAGTGGTACGTCTCTTTAATCCCAGCACTTGGGAGGCTGAGGCAGGAGGATCAAGAGTTCCAGGTCAATTTATGATAATATAGCAAGACCCTGTCTCAACACACAAAAGATGGAATCCTTAGCATGGATTTCAAAATCATTCATGAGCTAACCATTGTTAAGAAGTTTGTAGATGAATCATGCCTTCCTCTTATTTCTCTCCATTTGCCTTCTGTCTTCCTTACACCAAACACCAGCTTTCTTCACTCATATTTCCTTATAAGTACCTTTTGCTCTACATATGATGTCTTGTTTTCTCTGTGGTCCCTGCTAATTCCTATTCCATCTTCAAAATGCAGCTCTACCTTTTCTTCCCTGAGATGTCTTCCTCAAGTACACTCTCTTTCAATACTTATTTCATAAATATTTCAATTGTTAAAACATGGTTTTGCATCTACTGATATATTTACCTTGGCTTCCTTTGTTTTAAGAACTTGTTTTATTTTGTGTCACCAACATCTTAGTATCTTAGAGTGAGTTTAATAAAAAAATTTTCCTTCTTTTCATTCTGTTTCAGCAAGGGAGTAAAAGCACGGTTTGTTGTGACTGATGGTGGGATTACAAGAGTTTATCCCAAAGAGTAAGTTCAAATAACATCTGTAAAAATAAGTACCTTATGACAGACTGTGCCAAGGAGCTGTACATTACTGTGTAAGGAAGCCATTTTCAGAGAAGCCAATCATTGTTAGTAAATTAAATTGCAGGCATTGTTTAAAGTGTTTACATTGTTAAAATATTCCACTTCTCTTAAAAACGATACTATAAGATTCTTCAGTGAAATTGTTGCTAGTCATATATATTTATTACAACATTTAAGAGGGCTTTAAAGGGACTTATCTCTTTGTAGTCACAACCAAAGCTTGTTAAATGAGCATAATGATTTTGATGTACAGCAATATCTGTGTAGCACTTCAATACTATCACTGTTCTTTCCTGCATCTTATCTCTGTCTATCATAAAAACTGTCCATGCAGTGGGCTGAATAGTCACCAAGGGTTATTAATATTAATTAACCTCTTAGCTAACATATATATAATTTTCTGAGTAGTAAACAGTAGAGCAAAAGTAGGAGTCAGCCTTTTCTAATTCTTTATTCAATGCTATGCTGATATATTGTTTAGTAATATGTATTACTTATGCTATCAATTACCACTAACTTAATTAGCCGTACCTGTGAAGCTCAGTGTATCCACAAAGAGAAAAGTAGGTTATCACATAGTTTAAAGAATACAAATGATGAGACATTTCCTCCTTAGGGCCGGAGAAAATTGGCAAGAAAACCCAGAGACATATGAAGACAGCTTCTACAAAAGGAGCCTAGATAATGATAACTATGTTTTCACTGCTCCCTTCTTTAACAGTAAGTATTCTTTGGAACTCAGCTTTCTTAAGTCCTTTTTTTTTAATTAAAAAAATTATTCCTACTACTTCCTCTCCCCCAAATTAATGTATTTTATGTTAATGGCTCAGAATAGTCAGTAAGCATACTGCAAATGCAGTGCTTTAGGAAAACAGAAAAGAAACATCCATTTAGTTAGAGGTAAAGTGCAAACACTGAAAGAAGTTACCCAATAACGAAAAGCCAACAGGCATTCATAATAAATAGAAACATATGTCGCTAATCCCGCATATCACAACTAATGCATTGAAAAATGTTTAATGAATTAAATAAGGTGGGTAAATTGATTAATTGCATATTATCTGTATTAGTTTCATAATTTGGTGGTTATAAAAATTTATAGCCCATTTTAAAAGTATTTTATCAAGTTTTTTCCTCAAAACATTTTATTCAATACTTCAGTGTCTCTGAGCACAGTTATTCTTTACTCCCATTTCACAAATGAGGAAGCTGAAGCTCAGAGAATTTCAAAGGTTTATCCTAGGACATACATCTCATGCAAGGCAAAGGTAGTTTTGTGAATCCAAGATCACTCTTTCCATTTCACTTCAGCAGCATCCCCAATATTTTAGCAAATGTTACAAAACTGAGATTTGGTGTGCATTCTAATGAATTGTGGATGTAGGTAAAAGAAAGTTTTTCAATTCATGTCCATGAATCAATTTATATAAACTGGTTCATGGACATTCCAATGAAGAAATGAGAGAGAAACACATCTCTTTATAAACAGAACATGTCTGCCTGTATCCATTGAAAGAAAGTCAGCATTATGATTCATCTTCATTGGTTTGTTTTCTTTTTTTCCTTTATCTCTTTTAGAAAGTGGGCCCAGTGCCTATGAATCAGGGATTATGGTAAGCAAAGCTGTAGAAATATATATCCAAGGAAAACTTCTTAAACCTGCAGGTGAGTGTAGTAGACATAATATACATAATCATGACAAAATTTATGTTTATATCATAATTTGACAATAACTGTCAAGAAACTGTTCAGAAAGCCCTGAACAAAATAGTGTCAAAGAAATACAAATTTTAAATGATAAACTAATATACAATCAGTTACTTATGAAATTGGGAATAAAATCAAGTTGATACTCCATAAATTTAAGGAATTTTCAAAAAAGTGTATGTGTTTATATGCTCTTGATGAATTAGTACAGCCAATTTTGTGTAATCTATCAAAATTTAAATCTTTGATAATCTAGATGTCTCTCCTACTTTCAAATACATACAAAGGTGTATGGCCAAAGGTGTACATACTTGTAATAATTAAAATGTGAGTGGTGGAGTTCAAGGAAACTTCTTAAAACATTCCACTTGAATGATCTCATATTTATAAGACTTCCCTGACATCGTATTTTTAGCCTAGTTTATGGTATTAATTGGCCAGTTTATGATTAGTGAATAAACTATTCTGAGACTATAAATTACAGTTTATGTACTAGTTTAAGCACTGTTAGCATTATTTCTTAATGAAAACCCCAAGAGATACATTTCTGTAAGAAACATATTCAATCCAACATTTATTTGCTATTGTATAAATTACCTGAAATATTAATAGCAAAGATTATGCAAAAATTATGGCTTTAAATTAATTCAAATTAACTTTTCTAGTTGTTGGAATAAAAATTGATGTAAATTCCTGGATAGAGAATTTCACCAAAACCTCAATCAGGGATCCGGTAAGATAATTTTTTTTTTTCTTATGCTATACTAATGACAAAGTTCAAATAAAAGGTAATGACCTTATACAGTGGAAAAGTAAATTTTCAGTGCTACTACATTGAAATAGAAATATGAATTCCCATTTTTTTCAACATTTGTTTACTTAATAAAAAACAAAACTACATATATAAGGTACCTATTGGTTGATATTATCTTATTTTAAAGATAAAACAAATACTTATTTTTCTTATGGAATACTATTATGTAATCTTATTTTTTATTGATAAATTATTCCAGACTTTTCTATTATAGCATTATAATAATAATTAATAAAATATAATTAAAATCCACCTTTTTAAAAAATGTGAAATGATAATTATATTTCCTTCTTTCAGTGTGCTGGTCCAGTTTGTGACTGCAAAAGAAACAGTGATGTAAGAAAACTCTTAATTTAACTACAATATTTTCTTTTATTACTCTTTGCTTGCTAAGACTAATGATAAGAAAGATGTGGGTACTTTTAATCAAATGCTTGCAAGATCTAGGGAAAAGTGACCTGATTAATAGATACCAACTTGAATCTATATGGTTTGAATTCCTAACTTTAAATGCTTCTTTTAAAAATTCACTCAGTAGGGGAAGGTTAAAAAAAAAAAGGTCATATCCATGTGGATGGCATCCTCCTCAATTGTGTTGGGTTCTTTTCTATGTATTTATCTTCACTTCCATTTCTGGATGGGAAGTTACTAACCAAAGAATCCTGTTGGTTCCCAACTTCCCTCAACTTTGAACTTTCTCTGAAATTGCTCACACAGTTTATAGTGATAGGAAACATGTAACTAAACCCCAAAGTTGCATAGTATATTATAAAGTTTTGCTTTCAAGGAATTGGTTTTACTTTGTCTTGTATACTTCCATTTCTGTTGGAGAAATTAGAAAAGAAAATGTGACCATATTTGTCCAAAAATGAATAAATTGAAGGTGTTCTAAGTATAATACCAGATAAATTATTCTAATTGAGAGAATGTTGAAGTTCACTATTCTAGCTCATTTAATGTGTGTCTTAAGGTATATCTAAGGAAAGCCAAGCATTCATATCATCTCTGTCACTCCTGCAAAACTATAAGCGAACATATTTTTTTAATTTTTATACTTTATCTATTTTACATAGTCTGTGTAGTAACTATTTCCAGAGCAAAGTTTTTATGAAGCTGCTTCCAAATTAAAGAAGGGGCATATTATGTCTCTAACTGTGAGAACAATGTTTTCAATTGATTATATTCAATAGGAATTATTAAATTGATTTTTATACATTTATACATAATTTAAATTGGATAGGAATTTTTTTCTATATTTCAGAGTGAAGTTTTTTCAGCCATCACATATTTTGTTTTAATTTCTAGTTTTAAATCTCTTATAATCCAACATTTTAAATGCAAAAATATAAAATAGTTATAAATCTTATGCAGCTCATTTCTTCATTTAGTCTATGAAATATAGTAAATCAAATATATTAGATGTCTTGCCAATATAAGTATGTGCTTAAAATAATAAAATACTTATATCTTAAATATTTTGGCCTTTCCAATTTTAGATGATTTTGAAGTTGTAAAAAGATTATTACTGACTTGTTATAATAATTTCTTCAGACTGAGTTGACAGTTATAAATGCATAGTTGGTGATAGATTATCAAGGCCTGGAAGTTTTATATGAATATATGCATGCCTTTAATTTATAATCAGAATCTTAGGCATACATGTTCAAGAGAAAATGCAGTCATTTTATTTTTTTCTCCCATTTTTGTTGCTATAATCACCTATATAGAATGAAATAACAATAAGAAAGCACTCTGACCTTCCTAAACATCTTGTTTTATTTTAATAGGTAATGGATTGTGTGATTCTTGATGATGGTGGTTTTCTTTTAATGGCAAATCATGATGATTATACTAATCAGGTAGGTAACTAAAGTACGGGGAAAGAAGGGGTTATAAAATATATGTCCTAATCAAAATTTTTAAAAAATTTGAAGAGTTTTAGAAATTGATGAGTTGTTTTATTTATGTCGTAAAAATTTTTTAAATGGTTAATACAATGTTAAGTCATTAAAAAATGCATGCTATTGGGTACCTTTTTGTTGTTGATTTTACTTTTCAGTACCAATAATTACAATTAAAACATATAGTTAAGGATTTTAACATAATAGAAATTTCATTCTTTTAGAAACACAAAATTATTACACATTAAATATGTATCAGATGACAATGTCTAATTTAATGTATGACTGCTTGTTGCAGTTTCTTGTCCAAGCACGTAGGCTATTAGTATTTTAAACAGATTTGATCTAACTGCAGCAACTGGGATCATTTTTTCATCTACATTTCTGACTTCTTTAAAAAAAAAAAGAAGCTAAAGATCAAAAACAACACTGAGCTGTTTTACTGAATTGCAGTTGTTTATGTTAGAGCTGAAAGAGCTCACAGTTGTTCCTTTAGGTGAGACTTCAGTTCATCATAGTCCCTATGGATTCCTTTTTATAATTTAATCCCCTTTGCATTAGTTTTTTTTTTCTAACTTCTCCAGGATGCATTTGGCTTTTTGTTTGTTTGCTTTTGTTTTTCATTGTGTATGTTTATAACAACACCTAAAATCTACTTGTAACAAATGTACAGTGCACTATCAATAACTGTAGTCCTTTCTAAACTGATTCATCCTACATGACTGCAACTTCCTACCTCAGTCTTATTTCCCACACAACCCTCTTCTCCTGCCCAAGAGGCATCTTATCGTGGCCTTAACACTTGGTAATCTGTGTCCATTCATCCCATAAACAAAATACCACAGAGAGCCACTGAGGCTACCTCACCTCATTTTGGTTCTTTCATGATGCCATGTTCAGGTTTCTCATTGGCTTTTATTTTTGAGCTTTTGAGTTTTTTTAGTTCATAATGTCTTAGCATTATTTTTTCCACTGTACTGGTTCAGATGTTGATATTTGGTTTAAATCTAAAATGTTAATAATTTTTCTTTACCAGATTGGACGATTTTTTGGAGAAATTGATCCAAGCTTAATGAGACACCTGATTAATGTATCAGTTTATGCTTTTAACAAATCTTATGATTACCAGTCAGTGTGTGAGCCTGGTGCTGCACCAAAGCAAGGAGCAGGACATCGCTCAGCATACGTGGTCAGTAAAATCCACAGTTGGACTGATTTAAAGGGACTTCAAGCATGGACAATGTAATGACTTCCTTATTTTGTTTTATAGCCATCCATAGCAGACATACTTCAAATTGGTTGGTGGGCCACTGCTGCTGCCTGGTAAGTCAGAAACTTATGGTAACAAGAGAAAGCCTTGTAAAATAGGAAGTAATTTAATAAAAATACAGATTTTGGAGCAGGTAAATTGTTACTATGGGAATTATTTTTTCTTTTCTTAATAGAACATATTAGAAGTATTTACAAATGAACAGTTGTTAATTTTTATATGAAAACAATTTTATCCTCAAGCAAACTTCATTCTCTTTAGAGATTTTCTTTCCTGTGGTTATATTAGAACTATTCATTTGTGGTATATACTCAATTCCTTGAAGTTTTAGAGTATTGCTCTATAAAAGATAATCTACTGGCCTTATCCAGGTGGCTGTGTTGATTTTGTTGATGATATGGTGACTTAACATGTTACTTCTTATTATTCATTCGAGGATTGATATAGTTTGAGAGGCCTGGTGTTGCTGAAATCAAATTCCTTTTTTTCACTGATTCTGCTCTCCTTACCTCCCATACCACAACTGTGCCCGGCCACCTCTGAAACTAAGACATTGAAACTGTCTTTTGAGGCACTATGGAAAGTCTGGAAGATCACATTTCTTTTTATTTTTTTATTATTCATATGCGCATACAATGTTTGGGTCATTTCTCCCCCCTTCCCCCTACCCCCTCCCTTTCCTTCCCTTGCCCCCTTCTTCTCCCCCTCACCCCCTCGATACCCAGCAGAAACTATTTTGCCCTTATTTCTAATTTTGTTGTAGAGAGAGTATAAGCAATAATGGGAAGGAACAAGGGTTTTTGCTGGTTGAGATAAGGATAGCTATACAGGGAGTTGACTCACATTGATTTCCTGTGCGTGGGTGTTACCTTCTAAGTTAATTCTTTTCGATCTAACCTTTTCACTAGTTCCTGGTCCCCTTCTCCTATTGGCCTCAGTTGCTTTTAAGGTATCTGCTTTAGTTTCTCTGCTTTGAGGGCAACAAATGCTAGCTAGTTTTTTAGGTGTCTTACCTATCCTATCTCCCTTGTATGCTCTTGCTTTTATCTTGTGATTAAAGTTCAATCCCATTGTTGTGTTTGCCCTTGATCTAATGTCTGAATATGAGGGAGAACATATTATTTTTGGTCTTTTGGGCCAGGCTAACCTCACTCAGAATGATGTTCTCCAATTCCATCCATTTACCAGCGAATGATAACATTTCGTTCTTCTTCATGGCTGCATAAAATTCCATTGTGTATAGATACCACATTTTCTTAAAGATCACATTTCTTATTGCTTAGTTCTGATTACTCACATTTCTAAATCTCTTCTTAAAGGTGTCCGGGATCCATTATCTTCCTCTTTTTTTGCTATTTTCTGTGTTTGAGCAGCCACCATACAGTATTATGTCAGCCTTATTCCACACAGATAATAACATTCATCTGACTTTGAGCTTTTCACATCTAAAATTAAGTATTATATAATTTTGTTAAAGTAACAGAGAATATTTTGAATCAAAAAAATCTCATTTTTTTCTGACAAATGATGTCTTCTATTTGATGGTGATATCTGTGTATGATGTTTGTACATTGCAAGATCCTGAAACATTTGTCTTTGTCCTGTTTTCTGGCTAAAATCTCCCTGCACTCATCATTTATTTTTGGACCCAGTTCCACTTGATTCTGTGCTAATATTTGGTTCAGGTGTCATTATAAAACTGAAACGTGCCATATGCCCTCTGTGTAATATGTATATTTTGTGAATGTCATATTACATATTGACAAATATATTCTATATTGTAAAGGAAACAGATCATAAATCCAAACTTGTGGCTCAGGAAAGGTCATTACTGCTTATGTGTGTATATATTTCACCACAGAGTTTTAAAAACTAAAAGATTCTAAAACTAAATCCTGGATGTAAAAATGTATGTGCTGAAATCTTAAATATTTGACATTTTTCCTCATAGTTACCACTTCTGCACAATATATTATGTTAAGCCTTTTATACAATATATGTATATTAAGCTCTTTTATATTTTAAGTCTCTCAGTCCCGAACACTTTTCACTTCATGACTCTTTTATGGATAGAAACAGTTACAATGTTTTGTATAGTTTAAGAAATACTTATATGAAATGCACCTAAGCATCCTATGAGTAAATGCAATGTTTCCAAAAATGATGAAAAGGAAATGTGTGTTTATGTATATGTGTACACTTAAAACTACTGTTGTTTCTATTGTGAAATTTATAAAGGAAAACTTTTAGAATTATATCATTTATTCATTTTAAAAATTCAGGTCTATTCTCCAGCAGTTGCTCTTGAGTTTGACCTTTCCCCGGCTCCTTGAGGCAGGTAGGTAAATGCTCAGATATTTTCATTGTCACATAACAATTAAAATTTTCTTCTTGTGTGTATGTGGGTCTCTCTCTGTGTGTGTGTGTGTGTGTGTGCATGTGTGTGTGTGTGAGAGAGAGAGAGGGAGAGAGAGAGAGAGATAGAGAGAGATCAGCTAAATAACACTTCAGTAAATTTTTGTCAACTATTTCCTAATGCTTTATAAACTTTCCTAGCTCCCATTGGCCTGTACATTGTACATGCTATATTAATTCTATTGTATACTTATCAGGGGTGGTCAGGATATTATGCAGCAGTCAACAAGTCAGTTGAGACCTTTGTCCTAACCTTAGTTGCCCCGTCCCCATCTCTGGGGAAATGACTGTGGTGTCCCCTCATGGTTTGTGATCTTTGTTTTGACTCCCACAGTTGAGATGGAGGACGATGACTTTGCTGCCTCCCTGTCAAAGCAGAGCTGCATTACGGAACAAACCCAGTATTTCTTCGATAATGATAGTAAATCATTCAGTGGCGTGTTAGACTGTGGAAACTGTTCCAGGTACTTTGTTCTTTTATATCTGGAGAAGTCCTAATTCACAAGAAATCGCATCCACTTTATAAAAGTAATGATTATAAATCACTGCAGAAAATAATGGAGATTGTCAGGAGAGTGAGGAGTATGAATAATTATTTCAAGTTAAAAATGTCAAGAGCTTCAGTTTCTTTATAGGCTTTAAAATTTGTAATTTTAAAATTCTAACTTTGATGTCATATTTCTTTTAGCAATAATAATTATATAATCAAGATAATTGCTTCTTTTTTTAAGGCAGAACATAGAGGGATTTGGTTATATTTTAATTCATTTAAATCTAAAAGAATCTACGTTAAAAATTTCTGAGAAAATTACAGAATTATATTAATTTTAATATCATTATCTATAATTATATAATATTTCTAAGCCACACACATTTTTTTTCATGTATTGTAACTGCACAAGTTTATAAAATGGTATTCTTTGGTTTGTTTTTACTTCTGTCTTTACAAGCATGAAGAATTAGTTGTTATCTTTGATTTGAAACTAAAGGAACTGGAAAAAAAAATTTCCTAAGATCATGGTTAAAGTCATCTTTCATAAAACATCTTTAAATTTTTTGGAAGAGATGGAAAATTTAATTGGTTGTAATAGGATAGACGAGAAAGGCAACATGAGGACTTCAGAAGGTTTGAGAGGAAAGTGGTAATCCACGCCATGGGATGGCTAGGAACTGAGCAGCAAGTCACAGCTTACAAAGCACAGAGTTGGGGCTCTTTATTTTTAGAGACAGAAAGCAGTTATTTCAAAAGAAATGTTAGAGAGAAGGGGAAATATGAGGAGGTGAAGTAACCTGAGATTCTGAAAGTGCTGGAAGTTAGTTGCTAGGGAATTCAGAAAAGTAGTCTAAAACTATTAAAACAATATTTTTTCAAGAAGGGGTTAACCAGAACTATCAAGAATGTTTAATGGACATAGTTAGTATGTTTTATGACTTACTGTTGCAAACTACTATGTCCAAGGAGGAGAAAAAAGGTATGAAGAAGATAGGAAAGGGGAGAAGTCAGGCATGATCTCAGAAAAAAAGATTATTGTGTTTGGAAATGAGTATATCAGACAATCAGCTTCAGAAAATGGAACCGTAGCATTTTTAGTGGATACAGTAGAAGGCATTTCAGTCCTTTAGCCTTTCATTAATTGAGGCCCAGGATTCATAATATGTATTCAAAGAACTAAGTTAATCTGCAGATGTTATATTGTATCATGCTTCCATTTGATTTACTTTATAGTTGTGTTCAAGTTCATTGGGGAGAAAAAGAAGTAAAATTCCACTTGGTTGAAAAATGTAGAATTATAAAGAAATTTATCGTGATCTATGTACATTTTTATATTGTCAAAAAAGAAGACAGATACTGTAAAACCTAGGGATGGAATTTAAAGCACTTGATTTTGTCTCCATCTGTTCTTTCACTGTGAGAGTTACCAACCACAGGGGCCTATTTCAGTTGCAAGCAAAATTATATAAATTTGATTAAATTAAAAATTTGTGTCTCATTTACACTTGTCACATGTCCAGACCTCAAGAGCTTCAAGTGATTCATGGTACTGTATCAGAGAGGACTGGAAACATTTCCATCTTCACTGATCTAGACTTTATTCTGCTCTTAGTGTGGGCAAGATGCCTGGGCACTTTTGTGGTCTTAGTTTCCTTGCCTGTAAAATAGGCAACTTTGCGGTATTTTTAGTGATAAATGTCACAATTTCTTAAATATTTAAAAGGAAACATTTTTTCTAGAGCTTCAACAATAATTAAATATTGTGTTCATTTTGCAATGAGAACTAACACTTGAAGATTGCAATTAAAGATATTTTAGGTGCTACCTTTGTTTTTTAGTATTCCTTTAAGAGAAGTAATATGTTCATAATAATTAAAACAAGATAATCTTTCTGTTCTAAAATTACACTCATTCTGTTGTACTATTTGATGATGTTTTATGTTTCAATATGTAATATTTTGTTTTTCATTTTAGTGTATGAGGATCTTTGAAAGATTTCCATTCTTTTCCAAAAGACGCTTTTCATTTTGTGTGATCCTTTAAATTATTTTGCAGAATCTTCCATGTAGAAAAGCTTATGAATACCAACTTGCTATTTATAATGGTTGAGAGCAAAGGGACATGTCCCTGTGACACACGACTGCTTATGCAAGCAGAACAGACTTGTATCCTTTGGCATTAAAGGTATTTGGAATGGGAAAACATCTTAAAGCAATGGATTTTTAATCTTGGCACATTGTTTATGCTCATAAAGAGAAAACACTTACAATACTGCTGTTACCCCCACAGAGGTAGAATGGATCCCATACTCCAAATCAGGTTTAAATATCAAAACTAAGCATTATGAAAAGGAGAATCCACAATTTAGTTCCTTAAATCCCCAAGTGTTTCAGCTGATTATGTTGAATGAGAGTGATGGCATTGGTTATATCTTGCTTGCTTTTGGAAACAAACCCTTTTCATGGTAACTTTTCTAATCATGTGGGGGGAAAGTAACTTCATGTACCTTAACAAGTCTTGTCAGCTGATGGTCCAGATCCTTGTGATATGGTTAAGCAACCCAGATACCGGAAAGGGCCTGATGTGTGCTTTGATAACAACATCCTGGTAAGGCAACACTTCTGCCAAATTAAACTACTGTCAATGAATGGCCATCGTCCATGAGAATTTAAGGAGAAGAATTGAAATTTTAACCAAACATAGTATCTTAACCATAGTTTTTCTCATGAACATGTTGTACTTTCTGGTAGATAGACTTTTTCATTTCAGTAGTTTTCACTGTCAGCATAAACTCAATAGTTGCTTCTTTTATCTGTCTTTCCCACAGAAATTGTACTTTCAAACACAAGTCTTGTCAATTTAATAATAATCAAAAATTTGATTTAAAGACTTTCTAATAAATAATAACTCATAGTAAATATTACTTATGCTGTATTTATTGCCTATACTCATTTATATTCCAATCCCAAAAATGTTATTTTTAATTATGAAATTTATATTAGTTTGTATTTAGTCTTCATTCAAAATACTATAAACACCTGTTATGTAGCTATTGTCCTATTATTTTATAGTTTTACTTTCTTCTACATGGATTCTGATTCTATCACATGTTAGGTTTTTATTTTTCCCCTTGAGCTAATTTTGTTTTCTAGTTTGAAATTAGACTAGGTCGGTTATACACTGTTAATTTGATAGAATATTACAAAACATATTCAATGAATGTTATCTGACAATTAGGATTATTTTCCCCCAAGTTCAGATGTCTTTCATTGATAAAAACAATTCTGACTTACTGCTTTTAAAGTTATGGTAATTATTAAGAAACTTCATTCCCAAAGATGAATGCCACATAAAAATCTCTGCATTTCTAATTTATTTTGAATACAATATTATCTAATTTTTCAAGAAGATTTTTGCGTTAAGTGGTTTGCACACATAAACAAGCATCCAAACAGAGCATTACTTGTCATTTCATGAATTGATTATTCTAAAAACATGTCAGAACATCTGTTAGTTGATATGTATTTTTAGAGCTCTTATTTATTTAGAATAGGTTTACCTACTCAAATATATATAGCCACATTTGCTTCAGAAAGAATAAAGCATTTCCATAGATACATATTAGGCAACTAGATAACAAAAATGAAACAAAGAAAATCAGTGATAGGGAAAAGTACTAAAAATGCAAGATGTGTTATTAGATATTAAGTCCCAGCTACCTCTGTGAGGAGTATTGTCTATTTCTCTTGCTAGGAAAAGTAATTAACAATTTCAACTAAGTTATTTTTTCAGTTTTGCCCAGTAAGACTTATAAAATCTAAATATTAGGACTCCTGTCACTCCAACTACTACACCTTCAGGATGCTTGCACATGTCAAATCACTCTCCAAAGAAAGTCTTATGAGAGCCCAATCATTATTTCACTCATTAGGGAAACTTCACTCATCACCTGTCACAATTGTCAGCAGTTCAGAGACATTAAATTCACTCAGTTGAACTTAAAAGATGACATAAAAGCCATATGACCCCAAATATTCTCATCCTAGGAAGCTGTGTCACTTGATCAAGGCATTAAAAAGATGTGACCAGGATAAAAATTGCTAATGATTTGAGTTTCTGTAAAGTTCATATCGGGTTGTGTGTGAAAGTACAGCTCTTGCTTGGTAGCTTGATGTGCTGATAATGTGTTGTGTTTCTTTAGTTTAGCAGTGGAGTATTTTGGTAATGCTTATTTGCAATGGTCACTATGAATCTGCTCTGGATGGAGGCTCACATTAACTGCTAACTGCCAGCAGATTGCATGAAATCTCATCTTGTGTGTCTTCTTTTTTGTGTTTTCTTTCCTTTTCCTGCACTTGCTACTTTGCCTGTTATTAATAGGATCAACTTATTTGCACAACGAGTCGTGCCTGTACCATGATGTCAACTCCTATCTTCATTTTACTGCAAGTTTTCATGTGGTGTGGATGGTCAGTCACTTTCTCTAATTTTTCCTTTTGTTTGGGCTTGAAATTTTAGAAAATATCCCTAACTCCATAATAATAAATGTCCTAGAAAAGGTTATTAAAATTCTAATACAAATATTGTTTTGTAAGTCACTATTTCAAGTGACATAGTTTGTCATCTTAAACACAACATAACACATTCCTATATTTATTTAAAAATCATTATTTTCTTATATGATTTTATGTAAACATTAAGTCAATGTGGACAATAAATTATATAGCCTTTTGCTATCTTACTTTTGGAAAAAAGTAAATAATAAGTTTGCTATTTCTTATATCTTGCTCAAAATTATCATTTATTAATCTTTTGGGAAACTTGTGAATTACATAATCAGTCCTGCTAAATAGATGTTGTGGATCTGGGTTTGTGTTCTCACAGTTTCATTTCTGCTGCTCTGGAATCAGTATGATTGTGTTACTAGGGCAACTTTGGTTGTGTTCATTCTTGATTGATCTCCAGGTATTCATTAATAAGAAAACCACTAGATGCAGTTGTGGCCATTACTAAAAATGGAATAAGAACTTGAGGGGTGGGGAAGAGAAGTAACAGCAGAAGTCTGAGATAATAAATTGGTTTTTGTAGCAAGATATTCCAAGTAAAGATAACCTAGCGAGTGGCAATAATTAAAATGAAAGACCAAAATTAACATTGATACATAAGCTACTATTTGAAATATAATCTTATTGATCCCTTAAAGTACATAGTTAATCAATTATTTAAATAATAAAGTATAATAGAATTGTGTGATCATATAATTGTCTCTATTTGTGATCATAATAGAGATCAGCAAATGAAAGCCTAAGAGTAGCAGGTTGCTATACTATATCCTGTAGAGGAAGAAGGGTATAAAATACACTATTTTTTCACCTTTGATCCTAAGGTTTACTTTACTTGATCACAGAAATTTTAAAAACTACTTATATATTATCAGTTAGACATTAAAAATGCTACCACTGTTTATTGAGAATATTTCCATAAGAAATGTAAAAAAATCAACAATGTAAATGTCTCCAAAATGAAATGACAATTAAGCATAGAAATGAGATGGACAAGAGATCAGTAAAATCATGCAGCATATAAGTATACATATATTAAAGCATATGTATTTGTTAATTTCATATATTTTAATGTGGGAATAATTTTAACAGTTAATGTACAAGTTGTTCATAGAGCTTGTCACTGACTAATGAAATCATTGATTTAATTTTATACATTTTTCAACTTGTTTACAATAAATGCAAATCACTTTTCATTTCTGACATTAATTTCCTAACCATAAAAAAAGAAAAAGGTTTTAAAAAGTACAATGTTTTTGCTCAATTTCAGTGCCTACCAAATAAATCCTCAAGCTTTGCATGGTCTCCTGAGGCACCTGCCTTCTAAGGCAGAATTCATGTGCTACAGTTATGAAGCCAAATGTATGTTGTAGTATCAACCAAACACAGGCCATCTGGATATATATATTAAGACTCCTGAACATCTAAAATAAAGGCCCTGTGTCCCATATGAAACTCCATACCTTAAGGACTTCTAAAATCACAAATGTTCAAATGACACCTAGTGTCAGAGGTTTTATGAACACTTAACGTGTAAAGAAGAATAAAAGGAAAGAAACAAAACTGAAGGTTGTCAGTTAATCACAGAAAGTAAAGCAAGACAATGTGTCCATTCAGAAAATTTATTATTTTATGAATCCCAATTTAGAAAAGCATTATTGGTCTACAAAATGAATACATCTGTTATATTCTTATTAGTGTTTCTACATTTAAAGAAAGGCAGCTCACTGAAAGATGTTGAGGAGCTTGGGGGATGGGAAAAAAGAGCAATACAGCGGGTAAATCTGATCAATGTACAATATACATGTGTGTGAAATACCACAGAGTAACACCTCTGCATAATTAATATACACTAATTTTAAAAATAATGACTTTAGTATAGATTTGTCTGAATTCAAAAGTTAGCCATCATTTTGTGGGTATATTCAACAATGATTTGCCTTTTGAATGAAATTAAAGAACTGTAATTCAGAAAAGGACAAATCTCCTTAGCCAAATGACAAACACTTTCTTTTGGAAAAATGTAGTTCTAAATTTACTTAAATAGTTTTACAATTACTGTGTCATTTTTGCAATTATCTGGGAAAAGAAAGGCGGAGAAAGGTTAGCAGTGCTGTTTAACAACATAATATTCAAGAAATTTTCACCACTGCAATGCGTGGTCTTATAAAGTAAACCTTGGGGCAAAATCATATGAATGTCACCATAGTTTAGATTTTTCTTTCCTTTACTGAGGTATGGAGAAGGGACAGGAATGAAGAATTCTTGGGTGTTGTCTTCATTACTAGTCTTTTGAGAGAAGTCCCTTATAAGGAAGTCTAATGAAAGTAGTCTGTTGCATTTCACAATAAATATATAGAGTGTCAGCACCACATACACTTTCTGTTTTAATGTTAAACTGAAATGAGGTACCAATCTGTTATTTTCTATTAAATAATTATTAAAAGCTAGATTGATTTCTCTGGTCATGGGATCAGTGGGATTTTAGTTTCTAAAAGACAGAAAATGCTGAGGTTTCTCCTACCATCTGTGCATTTCTGTTTTAGAATGTTTTTAAAACTATATCTCACAACTTACTTTCCCAATACCATTTCTTTTATTGTATGTGGCTGCACCATGTAAAATTCATGAGAAAACATGCTCAGGAAACAAAAGGAGCAGATTTTTTGGAGTGAATAAACATTCAGTCTACAGGGTCTTATCTAACCTACCACCTTCCCAAGTAAAACAGACATATCATTGCCAGGGAAGAAGTGAGGAAAAAATAATAGCAATAAAGAACCAGAGAATATTTTTCTTTTCATAACACATTTCTCAAATATAAAGATGTCCTTTACGTTAACAAGAAATTCCTTGACAAAATACATGTTTTATGTATAAATGAGTCATATCTGTTTAATTTTTTCGTTCTGTTTCATTACTTCTTAACCAGAACTGAAGAGTAATCCTAGTTATGTGGCAGTTGGGTCTTTTGCTTATTTTATGTGTATGAGGTTTCTAGCCAGTTAATGTGTTTGCTGCTTGGTTGAACACCTACCATTCATTTACCAAATACTTACTTAACACCTACTGTATTTCGTGCCACTTATCTATGTGTGAGATATTCAGAATAAACACATTTACATTAAAAACTATTTTTAAATCTATAATTCAGATGTAACTGGTGCTATCTTTTTTGTATGGTTACTTCACCTGGAGGAAAAAGTGTCTAACAAAGATAAGAACAAGTGCAAAGGTGAACACTTTGGGCTGTTGCTGAGAAACGTGTTATTGGAGCAGAGTGAGTTGTGGGGAATAGGAGGAGAATGTGGGAAGACAAAGATGGAAAGACAGCCAGGCTCCAGACCGCAGAAGACTTTGTAGACCTTTGTAAGGAATTTGGATTTTGTTTTGAGATTGATGAGAAATTTCAAATGAGACATGAAAGGGATGTATTTATTGTTTTAAGAAGGAGATTGAATTGTTGGAGAAGGGATTGTAAAAGAATAGAGTAGAAGCAATGAGACAAATGAGGCAGCTTTTGCAGAAGTATAGGCAAGAAGTGATGGTGACTTAGACTTGAGACACTGAGAAATAGTGGGTTAGGGGAATATTTTGACGTTAGAATTAAGAGGACATGCTGATGGATTCAGTGTGAGAGCGAGGAATCTCAGATGAGGAGGAGGAGGAGTATCTGTATGTGATACAGATACTCAGGAAAATAATATAAAATAAGAGTTAAGTTTGAAATCTCCATGACACCTCCATGAGGACAGGTGCAGTGGGGAAGTCAGAGTGAAAACTCAAGCTGAAGTTATAAAAGTGAGTTCTTAGCAAGTAGATGAAATTTAAAGCCATCGGACTGGATTAGATCACTGAGAAACAATGCAAACATAAAGAAGACACTTAGAGAACATGAAGTAAAAGAGGTCAAACTAACCACAGGATAGTTTTGAGGAAACCTTGAGCTCCTGAAAAGTCAAATATGATGAAGTCTAAGAATTGATTATTTCATGATTTGGTTTAGATTTGGGAGATAGCTTTTGAATACTAAATTTTTCCTTCCTAGATTCTTTTTTCTCACCCCTCTGCTTAATGAAAAAAAAAATGCAATTCAAGAAGGAAATGTTATTTACTAAGTGGCAGGCACTATATTAAACTGATGAACAAAAAAAGCAAAAGTTCTTATTCTTTGAGAGCTTAGAGTCTATAAAATCTGATGACAAAAAAACTTGCTCATTCATTTTTATAACCTGTTATTTTGATCCCTGGGTTCACAAATTCTTAAAAGATGTTTACAAGAATGACTACATTTAAGGTTTTAAAAAGAAATTCATTTCACTGAAAGGAATTAAAGGATGTGAAAATGTTACAGAACATTAACCCAGGAATAAAAGGTAAAAAAATAACGTTAGATTTGTAGAGAATCAATTAAGGCAACACTGCATTCTGGGGAATGCAAGTAGGTGTATTTATTGCCAATATTTCATGGTTCTCAAAACAAAAGAAACTTCTGTTTTCACCTTAGTTCTTTATTTTGTAGCTATGTGCTCAGGATAGTTCAAATATGTTGCTTTTTATTTTACTGTAATTCTTGATGAAAATGCAGGTGCTCCAGATGCTCTGTATGTTCACCTTGGATATAAGAAATAAATGTAACTTCATTAATTTTTCTTATGGAGAACAGTTGCTAAAATCATAGCTATTAGAAATTACAAATGCTTTTAAATTTTATTTTTATTTATTGCATTTATAAATAGAATTGTGGTATTATGACAGTAAATTTCTTAATGTTACCAAATCATCAGTATTTACAACTAAAAATTTAAAGCACTTGTCAAATAATGTCAGGGAAATTGCTTCACTCTAAACTACTGAATGATAAAATCTAGGTCAATGTTACTTGGATTCTAGTTAAAGCAGTTTTATAAGGTAAGTTCAAAAGTGTATGAAACATAAGCTGCTCTAAAAGATGTCTTACTAAATGATTGTCATGATTTTTCTTTTTCTTTTTTAACAGGAAGATTATACTGACTGTGGTGGTGTTTCTGGATTAAATCCCTCCCTGTGGTCTATCATCGGACTCCAGTTGGTCCTTCTTTGGCTGGTATCTGGCAGCAGACACTACCTATTGTGACCTTCCAGATCCTAAATCTGCATTAACTTCAGACCCTGCCAAAACATAAGCCCTCAATGACATTAACACAGGGCCAACTGTGGCATCAGCAGAACCTTAGCTGGGCCTCTACCATGGCATAACTCTTAAGGCACAGGTTCATAAGCACCCACCGGCTGCATGTCAGGACGTCAGATCCTTCTACTTGTGTAAATGCTGCATCATCTATGTGTAACATCAAGCAAAATTCTACATGTGCTCTATTGGAAAATCTGGGAGTTTGCTGTTGCATTGCTGGTGATTATATGTAAAAGGGCGCCCTGTACAATTGTTTATGAATCATAAAAAAAGTCTTGATTTTGACATTGAATTTCAGCCTGCTGCAATTATACCAAGAGAATACATAGGGGGAAATGTTATTTTTGCCTTCACTTAGTCTTCTGTTAAAAGGTAAATCCTGCTTTCAGCAGTTACTGAATACGGGGAGAGAGAGAGAAAATTAACATTGGTCTAAACTGTTGAAATACAAATAATGGCTAATTTTCTTAAAAAATTTGCCATGAACAAAATGCCTTATAAAGAATGACTTCTCTGCCAAAAATAAAAGACAATTGGTGACCAATAAAATTTCACTGAGGTAATGAATTGGTGGTTTGAAAACAATAACCAAGAAATTATTAAATTAAAGGTGCTTGAGAGTGAAATTTGAATATATGACATATTTCCTCATAAATGTAAGCCCTTAAATGCTTGGATGTGATGTTCCTTTTGTTAACAGTACAGTTATGTAGTGCTAGCCAGATATTTGAAAATGCTCTAAGAAAAGCTTGTTGGGGGGAGGGGAAATGTTTTTCTTGTGATAAATGAACTCGGGTTACCAAGGGTATTTTGCATGATGATGCTGCTATTCTAACTTTTTGAGTTTTTTTTTTTTTTCCTCTCTTACTGTAGAGTGTAGTCCTTGAGAAGTTAACTGAGTGACATAATTGTCATGTAAGAGTCTGAACTTTGCTGTGTAAATGCACTTAAGTCATCTTTAAATATGTTGTTAAACTACTCTGAATATACCGTGCGGTGTCAATGCTGAATGACTGCGTTAGGTAAATGCTGAAATGAGAATTAATGGATTTTATACAGATTCGTGCTTTTGCCTGAAAACCTATGTACAGATATTTTAAGTACATAAATCAGATTTAACACATTTATTTTTGAAAAGTACATATATGTTCTCAATGAAGATTCATTCTTGGTTTCCTCTTTGTTTGTTTGAATAGTAGCATGTACAATCCAAAAATTGCTTCTGCTGCTGCTTTAGTCCATCCATTTTAAATGATATGATCATTTGACCAAAATTTCCAAATAATTTGATGAGAGTTTTACAATGATATGAACAAATAGGAAACCTTGAATCTATATGTATGCACATGAACACTTGATTGTGAATAATAAAATTTGTTTTTATACAGCCTCATTGGTGAAAATGGTTAGTGTAGTGAATCAGATATTTCATTATAGATTAATATGGTAACAAAATATTATTTATGCTTTTAAAACTTATTTTCAGGAATAAACAGTATTTGAAGAAAGGGTAAAAACAATGAATGTGTAACTCTTGAATAGAGAATAGTTTTACTGAAAGCTGAAAGTATGCAGATATTTTTTATGGTAAAATGAATTTTTTCATTTTTTAAACATGCCAAATATTGGTGTGTGTACATGCTGGAAATTTCTTATATATCATTTTAAGATCAAAATTATTTGCATTATCCAGCATGCTTTAATATGTTCCACATATCAAAGATGTAACCATTTCTTTATCATAGTTAATGTCTTGTTTTTAGCTTTGCATACATTTGTAATTCCTTACTGCCATCAATATAACCTAAGTTCCGTTTGTATACGTTTCCTTATTTAAGATTTTTTTTTAACTTAGAATGTGGGGAGGGGGATGGAATAACTCTGCCAACTATGGTTCTAAGAGTTGACATAAATTACCATTTCTAACACATTGTGATTTTGTACTCCATTCATAAATGGTATTGACATTTTAGAAAACACCAAAGTGATTTGAAAAAATAGTGACAATACGTTTAACACATGTTGTTTGTTACTTAAATATTGAAAACTAATTGTTACCTTTTGCTAGACAATTTTAAATTATGAAGGTGTTGGGAAGGAAATCTCAAACTATTTAATTGTTTGTTTGTGTATATCAATGGCATACATTAAAACAATTGAATTGCTTCTAGCATACAACAACTACCTTAAAATTGTGTTTAAAGTCCATTAAGTGGCCACTTATTGATACTTACATATTTTCATGGCTGTTGTCACTTATGTAGTGTGTTTTCATCAACTGCATTATTGTTGTATTAATTGCAGTTAAACTTGGCATCTGTTGGCGAGGCCCTGTTGTAGTTACATATCATGACAACCACATTCATAGTAACAAATTGGGTAAGAACATGCTCTCTAAAAACGTTTTCATGACAGACACTGACCTTCATACTTTAACATACTTTTCTTTAAGAAATAGTAACACTCATCCCATCAAATTGTTATATTAAATTATAGTCTGTTATTATTTTTGATTTCCAAAGACTGAACAGTACAAGAGATCAATAAAAAATTTTTAATTGTTCTTAATTTCTGGTATTCTCATGTAACTTGATATAGTTTGTCACTTAAAGTCAAAATAATTCTTGCATTGGTGTTGAGTACCAGGAAAGAATTTTGCATAAATGGTTTCATATTTTCTTCATTTGAACAACCAGCATTACTGCCAAACACCAATCGTGGTCCATATTTGTAACAGGTTTTTAACATGACATAGTTAGCAAGTTTGATTGAAGAGATTTTTAGGTCCTGGGCCTATAAAACTTTAGTATGATCTTTTTTCATGTTTCTAATGTTTGAAGCATTGTTGCTTATCTTGGGAAAAAACAGTGTTGCTGCCATTTGTAAGTTTTCCTATGGATAATATTCCTTTTATTACCTTTAAAACTGGCCTTATGGGGTTCAAATAGGCAGTATTTTAAGTGACCTTTGTAACCCAAGTGTTACTTGCTTATTTGATGCTCTCTCATATTTTACATCTCATTTAAATATTTGTCTTCACCAAAGGTAAAGTTCTATGTCTTAATTTAAAAACTCGTGAGCTATTGCACTGATCACGTCTGTTGACACTAAAGGTACACAGTGTGAACTAGCAAGACAAAAAGGATTTGTGACTTTTTTGCTTGCTGCCCCAAATTCCAAATATTTTTATCACCTGGAACTCATATTATTTCCCATAGCAGAATGTTAATATTGTTAAGATTCAGTGTACATTTCTGTAAAGAATGAATCACTAAAACATAAGCTTCAAGTATGAAAAATTCCAGAATGTTGAAGAATTAGATAGCCCTTGCTCATAGTTTCACCTACCTTATTTCTAGTCCAAATAAAAGAAATTATCTTGAAGAAATTCCACTGAGACTTATGGAATACTGTCTTGTAATAGATGCCAACTGAGTTTATAATGTGACCTGGCAATGCTGTCTTTTTTGTTGTGCTGTATGATTGTTGGATCATGCTTTTAGGGATACTTTTAATGAAATAAATGTTCAACATGCATCCATGCTGAAGGCCAAGTGGCTTTTGTGAACAATAGATCCTTTCTCCCCTTTATTATGTTCTCTTAACACTTTTGTGGAAATTAGCCTGATACAAACATTTTGTAAAAATTTGTATAATACTGTTATAAAAATATTTATAATCCCAGAAAATGTTGTGTTAAATCTTGTGCAAAAACAGTATATTCAGAATAAAGATTTATCATTTAAAGTCACCATGCAGTTTGGATCATTTGCTTTTTTAAGATGCAGTTGAAGGAAACAATGGAGTCTGTCATAAATATGTTTCAAGAAAGCAGTCCTGGTGGAGAGAATTCTGGATTGTGGAAATAAAATTTGATATTACAAAAGTGTTTTTACAATTTTAAACCTCAACTCACAAATAAATGCACAGGCAACTTCTTTACATATCTCCGGCCTGCCTCATCTGTGCTTTCCCCATTGAGGCCTTTAGGATCTTAATAAATCAGACTTTGAACTTCTATTATGAAAAAGTTTCCTAGGCAAAAATAATAAGTTCCAAGAGAGAAAGTGTTCCCAATTTTCTTTAACTACATTGGAAAAATAGTTTGAAAGAATAATTTAAGAATAACTAAAATGTGCATACCTTTTATACACCTGTCATTTAAATATTTCTCCTAGCAATTTGTAGAACAGCTGAGGCAATAAAATACAGTGTGAAAAGTTTTAAACAGCAACCATGTAAGTTTCCTTTTGCATTTATCCCAGCTTTCCACCTTCCTCCCTGTGCTTACCTATTATGTGCCTGATACTGTGCAGAATGTAGTACAACATACGGTTCATCATTTTCCTGTTTTGCCCTTCATTCTGGAGAATACTGTAAGACAAAGTGAATATCTTACATGTGCTTAGAATGTAGTGTTGAGGGTACCAGTGGTGATGATCACTGGAAAATGTGAGCCCCTGTCTGATCAAGGCATTTTAACAGGAAAACTCCTATTTAAAAATATAAGGTAGATAAGGTAGATAACATTTGTTTTCTGAACATCTGGCTTCCTTCTGTACTAATGCATTTCCTCAATCAACACACTTACTCCCAAAGGAGCCTCATTTCCTTCATCAGTCATCTTAATCCCTTGGAACCTTGCTTCATCAATTCTCCTTCATCAACCTTATTCAGCCTCACTTCTCTGTAGCCTTTTTGTCCCTCTTTTCTACCTACAAATGCATGCAGAATACCTCTGTTTAAACCAAATATACACCACTACCCACTAACCTTATTGCTTCCTACACTTAGAAACCTATAATTAAAATATTCATTTGCACATTCAAAGACACATAGAAGTAGTCTTTGGTCTTTGCATTATAATTAAGTAGGTCTTAGAATTTTGCATCTGTAAGACCAATTATCTCTGACCTCTATTTTTGCACTACTTCTAAAATTTTGTAATTGGTGTGAGGCCTACATGAGTATTTCCTGACTCACAAAAGTTTTGCATCACAAAATTGCTCCCAGAGTACCTACACAAGTTCCTATAAACAGATAAACAACTCAGTACTGTTTATTTAATACTATTTAAATCAATTCTCTGTTTTCTTTAAAAATTTAGTAGGAAATTTAATATTACTGCCATAAATATATATTATAAATATAACATACATATTATATATATTGCATATATATAACATATAATTAACTTGGTGTAATTAGGAAACATGTTGCATTAATGTAGCCTCATAGGATTAAAGTGAAAAGAAATCAGCAAAATCTATCAGTATATATCAGTTGTCAAATGTGTCACATTTAACAATCCACTTCTTAAATGCATTTATTATAATAATAGATAAGGCAGGTTTTATATTTTTGACACTAATGTTTTAAAGCATAAATCTTGACTCAAGCACTTGATTATAAATCATAATTAATATGTTTAATATATATACATGCATATATATATACTTGTAAAATATTGCCAAAGTTTGAATTGCTTCTGGTGTGTACATTTTTTTCTCAAAATGCTTAATTATAACCAACAGTTTTGGACACCACTTGAACCATTTTTTTTTTTAGTTTCTTTAAAAAACACACCTATAAGATAAACGTGTTCATCATGAACTTTATATGGTATGGACAAATTATTTAAAACATCTTCCCTAGCCAGGTGAGGTGGCTCATGCCTTTAATCCTAACTACTTGAGAGACAGAGATTAGGAGAACCATGGTTCAAGGCCAGCCTGAGCAAGTTAGCAAGACCTGAGGTCAAAAACAAGTTGGATGTGGTGGCAGATACCTGTCATCCTAGCTACATGGGAAGTCTAAGTAGGGACATCGTGATCCAGACTGACCTGGGCAAAAATGTGAGACCCTATTCCAAAAGTAACTAAAAACAGAAAGGACTGGGTGTGTGGCTCAAGTGGCAGAGGACCTGCCTATCAAGCGAGGAGCCCTGTGTTCAAACCCTAGTACCAACTCCCCTCCCCCCAAGATTTTCTCATATGATAGCATGAAGTTTCCATGAAAAATAAATGCTCAAGATAAAAAACTAAAGTTAACAGATTCTAAGACATAGAGTTCCTGCAGTTTAAAGTACTCACTTTTCATATGGAGTAGCCAAGAAGAATTCTTGTCCAAGGTCACCAATTCTTTTGTCAAAAACTAAACTAGTTTATGACAGTAACTACAGGCACCAACTGAACAAGGCATTGATATAAAACCAAGTAGTAACTGGGTTCCACTACTGAGATTGGCATTCTGGCTTTAGTACATACATACCAGCTATGAACCTTGGATAAGTAACATAATGTCTATAATCCTCAGTTTTCTTGACCCTAAAATAGAAATAATATCTGCATTACAGAGTTGCCATGGTGATTAAGTGATATGATTAATATAAAGTACATAACCTAGGCTCTGGCACTGGGGAAGCACTTGACAATGCCATTCATTAGTGTAATGTATTACACAATCACCTTTGCAGTCATCATAATTATTTTGTGCTGGAGCTCTAAATAATCTAACACCCTGCACCATTAATTTTTCACTTGAAACATTCATTCATTCTTCATTCAACTGAAGTGTTAGAAGTAGAATCTTATACAAGGCAAAAATAGTACATTCCATTATGGGAATATTGAAAATTTAATAAAACTTTACAATACTGTGAGGAAAGTTCTTTGATGTAGGAAATAAATAGAGCTAAGAGAAGGGTAACAAAGCAAGGCTTTGCTGGCCAGAGAATGCACCCGTGATGTTAAGCTAAGGAAAGTACTATCAGGAACAGAAAGAGTATGGGAAAGCCAAGGAACACACCTAAAGAACTGTAAGTAGCTGAATGGGAATTCAGCTTGTCTGGAAGGCTGAGAGAGGAGTGGCAGATAAGGCTGGAGAGACAAAGGGCCAAGCCTGGACTACTTACCCTCTGGGTACAAAGGATATTTAAACATTTAAAAATCAATGAAAATTTTTAAGCAAAGAAAAGAATGTTGCATTTCAATATAAGCACTTGGGGTGAAGTGTGGGTTACTGGTGGAACACCTACAGAAAAGGAGACCAATGAAAGCAGACTACTGTCAAGGTGAGAAAATTTTGTTAATTGGCATAAAGAAGCTAGATGAAAAAAAGTGGATCATTTGTGAAATGTTCAAAAGAGAAAAAAGGTAGGACTTTATGACTTATGCACTTTTCTACTAAAATAAATGAAAAAAAGGAATTACTCTCATGATTCTGAAGCTTAACATTGGAGTTAGTAAAATTCCAAAAGTTACTAGACACTGGAGATGCCTAGGGTAGGGGTAAGGTTAGTGGGACATTTTCTCCTTTCATTTTCAAGATAAAAATGAAAGATTAGATACACTCCAGAAATATTGTGAATAAGGCTAGATTCTGTGTTAAAGATACTCACCAGTGAAAAACCATGATGAAGTCCCTATGAACAATGAATATACACTTAAGAAATGAAGGACAAGAATGTAAAACAGGTCCTCTTAGGGGGTAGGTAATAGTAGGAGGGGAGAGTGAATGGAGAGGGTAAAGGAGAGTGAACATAGCTGATGTACTTTAAATATTTGTATGAAATTAGAACAATGAAATCTGTTGAAACTGTTTTAAGTAGGAGGGAGGGGGATGAGAGAGAATGATGGTGGATGTGATCCTAACCAAAGGACATTGTAAGCATATATGGAAATGTCACAATGAAACCCCCTGTACAGGAAATGTATGTTAATAAAATGTTTGAGAAATGTATGATATATATTATAAAGATATATTATATATATATATATAAAGATACAAATAAGAGAGTGTGCTACCCAAAAATAAACATGCCCAGTGTTTATCTCAGCACTCCCTGCATGTTAAAAACCTCTGCAGATTTTGAACTTTTTTTTAAACAATGGACAACCTGGTTTCTTTATCATATTTAAGTAAGTACTGGCTATTATTTAATAAAATAGCTAATCACAACTTCTAAAACTTCATTTAAAAGGTGGATATTTCAGGCTGCCTACCCATCTTAAACCACAAGACATCAATCTCACTGAGATAACAAAGACCATGTAATACAAGGTGAAAAATCCAGGCTCTGGCATCAAGCTTCCTAGATCCACATACATTCCAGCTCCTCACCTGGACCTATTATAGGACATCAATAACTCCTCTTTCTATGTCTAACTTATCTATTCACTCAATAAATATTTGCATATAATAAATAATGATACTAGTCACTATCTACTAGTTGCTCAGGCCTTTACTTTTTACCTCAGAACTCAACTATTCTGAGGATTTTAGAAACACCTAGATAAACTTGGCATCAAGAGGATACCTAACATGTAAGGAATATGGTTAGAACTTTACGTCTTGCACTCTGTTGGGTACAAAGGATGCAATGATGAGAAATGCAAATATGCACCAGCTATAGGAGAGAGAATGAACATTCATCTGAAAGCTTGTATGAATAAAAATACTATTGGTAACTCTAAAAAAGCATTATGAAATAAAACAGTTTGGCAATAAATTGTTAATAGTTGGCAAGAGGAAAGAGTTTAGTGTCTGAGCTCAGAAAAGGTAGATGGAATTTTCATACTGTCTTGGGTGTCTTCGTCCAAATATTGGAAACAATTAGGCATCTGGAGCTCAGCAGATACAGATGAAATAATGGTGAGGCAGATGGCCATGTCAGCTCTGGGAGAAGGTTTGACTTCACATTACAGCTTGCAGTGTGGAAGAAGGAACTTCCTCTCACTGATGGTCCTGTGCATGTTCATCTCAACAAAAAGGCATTCCCTCATTTGTTTTCTTGCTCCCTTTCATTTGAAACTCTTTTTTGGTAAGTAC